GTCATTGTTCAAACTGAAAAGTTACACCATGTGTCGAAAATCAGTCATAATTTAGGGTACATTTACAGTGGACATGTACGGTACATTTAGAGCTGTTTGGATTGTAGCCCCGATCCCATTTTCATATGTGTACATATACAATATAATGGTTGTTGTAATTTGCATTGCAAATTATTCATGTGTGCACATTTACATAATAGTACGCACATGTACTGTGTGGTACATGTACAGTACATGAGGTTGTGTGGACCATGCATAATAATAGGAAGAAGGACATTTATAAGACGCCCTCTCCAGCAACAAGCTGTTCATGGACACAGTATGAAGATGTTCCAAAATTACATATTGCATTAAGAAATTAAAATAACTATACACACTGAAACAGTAAGTACTGTACATGTATGCCATATTTAAGCTTGAATATGAAATTGATAGAATAAACACACGCACAAATTGAGTAACAGTATACGTACTGGGTAAGCAAATTAAAACATTAACCTTAAACTTGAGTTAGAAAAAAGACAGTAACAGTAGCAGTAGCAGAAATAATTAAGCGGATCAACGGAACCAACCAACTAGCTATCCAAAAACATGACGTGATCCTGCCCCCCCCCAAAAAAAATCATTACAGAGCAGTGGAAGTAAATACTCTCTGAAAAAATACAGTTTTTAGTTTTGCTATGTATGTTTCATGTACTATATACGGTACCATGTATGTTACACTGTACGTGTACGTGGAGATGTCGCAGTCTTAAATGGTACACGGCTACATGTGTACATGTACCACGGATATCAATGCTATCAGCACTCTGTGTTCACAGACAGGCACTGTACATGTACAGTGCCCATACATGTACCAGCAGGCTTCTGCCCTATTGTCAAGAATTTGGCAAGGCAGACAGCTGCTGGCAGGGAGACAGGACAGACGTGGTCAATAAATTTTTACTTAACACCTTGTCAAGGGGATTCTTATCTCCGCCTGTCAATTAGAATTCTATGGATGGACATATGGTTCATTCTGTCAGTGCTGCTGTCCAGTCTGTCATGCCCTTTCACCAGAATTGTGCCTGAAACCATCTCAGCTGCCATTGCATTACATGTAATTAGAATAAGCTTGCAGTTACACCTTGTAGGAAATCTCAGTATTGTGAGTCCTGCAGTCCTTAAAGAGTGAACTTAACGGACATTGTTTGTATTGACTTTTTGAGATTTCTGATGTTAATCCGCAACAATGTATACCTTTTTTTTTTTTACTTCTTTGTTACTTCTCCAGTATGGCATTTGGCACATCCTTTGGATAGGATGGAACATCTTTGTTATTTGTCTGTACCTGGAAGCTGGAGTCCTCACATTACAGGTCAGTGCACTTTTGTGCCTTGCATTCAAGCCAAACAAAAAAATACACGTTCGTGTAGATGTGTTTGTCGCTACCCTAGCAAAGCTACAGGTGAGATAACCACAAAGAACCTGTATCTCTTCACTGGGAAAAATTGATAAAACAAAGTTTAGAGTGGATTACGCTCTTTCTTGTCAGATATGTTACGGGGCATACATATATAACGCAAGTTTCCTCCATGCTAACATGCATTACCTTTCAACCATGTGGGCCCTCCCTGTGTTTGCCTGACTCTTTTCTTCTTGTAGTCATGTTCCTGACTTCTGGCATAGAAAGCTTTGGCCTTCCAAAAAGGAAGCCTTTATTGTCATTGAAAAATTGAATGTAAAATGTAACTGAATAAATCAACCAACAGTCGGTTAATCGAGTAACCGAATATTACTCAGCCCTAATCTGAGTGTGCATTTCTTCCACAGAAAAACAGCAATATCCTAAACATGGGTACCAACGCCAACAGCTGGTGGCTGTCACACGGCTTTGGCTGCAATGTGACAACCAGATCCACCACCACCTTCATTGACAGCACTAAGGTGGAAGAGAATGACGAGGTGTTAGCTGTGCAGGGCTGCGTGCTGGACGGGCGGTACACAGAGGTCATACATGCAGGCGTGCAGATCTTATTAGCGGTAAAAAAAACAACACAGCCCAGTTTTGTAGACTAACCCGAGAGCCACCCTAACTGCGATGGCACCGCACTCACAGGCGCACTCTTAACGTTCATGTATATTTGGCAAATTGCGATATCTTATTGGTCGAAGAAGTATGTGATGTGATCAAACCATCTGTCCATGATCGGTTTACTACTGCAGTAACAGAACTTTTTAATTCTAGGTTCCGAATCACGCTTTACAGCTACTAACCAGAAATTATTGCTAAGCAGAATTATGGGCCAAGCAGAACTCAGCTGAGAACCAGTCTGAAGTTGTATGCACTTGACATTTTGGTTGGTAAATGACATTTTGGCTGGTAACCTGTCTTTTCGTAACCATATTTTTTGTACTTATGGGAGGAAATGTCTTTGGGTAGTAGTGCTTGGACATTGATACCAGGTTTTTTTCCTGTTTGTTCACATTTGCAGTGTGGTATGCAGACACCGCTCATGTGGTGAATGTTTTCCATACCACAGGAAAGATTAACACTGAGCTTTCCAAGAACTATTTTGATTTATTTTAACAACACCAAAGTCACAAGTTCTCAGCTGATAAAGACTTGATTTTAAAGTGATTCCAGGACACCCAAGGACTCCAGAAAGAAAAGATTTACATGTATAGGCTATTTTCTGAAAATCTTACTATACTCAAAGCATTACTATACTATTGATTTGTAAATACGGTATTTCAAATACGGGCTGATTTTACACCCTGACCTCTGAAAAGACATCATTTCTGTGTTTGTTTAATGCAGATAATGGGAATAATTGGTGCTGTTTTGGTAAATGTCAAGTTTGCAGAGGAAGAAGATAGTTGTAAGTACCGTACACAAATATTTTCCCTTGTTAAAATTAAGGGTGGAACCTAAGCCTCATTTTCTGCATTACATGCAGATCAGGTACTTCTCAGCATTTCAGCATATTCATCGTTTGGGAGCACGCAGGAGCCATGGTGTTTGTGCATCCGTGTATGCCTCTCAAGTCACCCTGGCCAATCAGAACATAAGGGAAGGAAAACAGAGCGGGCTCGGTGTTTCCAAAAAGCAAGGTCATTTGGGCACAAAGCATGTGCACAAGTCCGCGTAGGGGAATGCTGATAGGGCAGACGTCGCGCGCACATCGGGATGAGTTTGGATGCGCTTCATTTTGGGCATGCGGTGTTGGAATACCGAACTGGATCATTGTAGCCTACAGAGCAACCCATGAAATGGCTGGAGCTAGTGAGCCAATGCCTGGCCTCCGATGTGAATCTAGGGTGCGTTCGAGCAAGCTACTTGTGTTAACACGAGTATTCTCCCAAAGCACATGAGCGGCAGGAGTACGCCCCACGGATCAGCGGGAGTATACTCCCCATCATGCAGGAGTATACTCCTGACCTGGGAGTAATGCATGCACGTCGTCACTTGTGTTGAGTAACCGCACGAATGCACCTGATGTGTCCACTCATGGTGTGGCCTAGTTGGGAAGTGGGTTGGGGAAAGAAATTGTATTGTACATTCATTTTTTTTCCATCACAGGTCCCTTCGTAACATCATTCATTTAGGAAACAAGGTGAACAGTGACAAAAAACTGTTTTTTCACAGTTCATTTTAATAACTTGTCAGTTACGTAGCTTAAGACTGGATGACTTGTGATGAACTTGAAGGCACTTGTGAAAGACTCAGAATGAATCCTGAATTTGGCATGAAATCCAAGATTGATAGGTGACATGTGCATAGAAATCGACTCCTAAAAGTCTCAAAGGGATACAAAGCAAATTGGAAAAGTGTCTGGTTTTGTGTTTTGGTGAGTGTTTGACGAATGAGGATGCATTACAGCTGGGCTTGAGCCAGCGCTGATCAGACCACCGCTGGTTAAGCCACCGCTGATCAAGCCACTACTGATACCATTTTTTATGCTTGTCAATAGCAATGTCAATATCTTTACATCCTCTTTCCCACATCCAGTTGATTTTATCGGGGGGTTTGAATCCAACTATGCCAGCTACAATTCACATGCCCAGGAGAAGGAGTCTGATGTCCCTATGCAACCAGTCTACATGTGAGTGCAGTCTTCAAGATTCTGTTTCTCTAATTATGAATATTTATAGGACACCCAAATAAATCTTTGTCTAATTGGTGAATTGGCGATCATGAGCCATTGAATTACTGATGATGCAGGGCTAAATCTAAATAAATTTTGCACAAGAAAATCTTATTCACACCTCAAAAACCCTCTGGTACATGTACCTGTTGTATTGTAATGTATTTGGCTTTTTAATTCTGATTTATAGACACAGAGGCATCCACTGATCAGATCTCAGCTGCTGTAACCATGGAGATGGAGATGATTCCCATGGTGACCGTGTCTCAGATTGAATCAGGGCCAAGGTGCACTTCCCCCCCGCCGTGGTAACAAACATAATTGACTAATTTTATGCTGATGGGAGATGTGATAGTACTGCTTCATGCGTTCCACTGCCAAGCTAGAATGGAGTGTTCTAGAATTCACCCCGGGACTTTATAATTATTACACGTAGTCTTTATAAAAGAGTTAAAACAGCCAGAGGCAGGGAAAGCCATTATGCTTGCTGTTGTCACTTGGCTCATCACCGGCATTTTGCTACTCAGGCAAGCTGTTGAGGTCTTGACCCCTTGTGTATGTTATAATGAGACCATCAATCTATTCAGGATTTTCTGTCTCCAAATATCCCCAAATTTTGCCTCCAAGTATCCTCAAGTTTTGGGCAGAGTATTCCTGCTAGTGTCAACCTCCTATGAAGTGCCCTGCCGTATTTGGCCTTTTTGAACTCAAGTTTGAGAGGGGTTCGTCATTAGATGATAAGTATGTAGTACAACGTGTCAAGCATAGCAATGATTGATTTACTACAAAAGAAAGGCGGACCACTGAGGAAGTGGGGGCGTGGCCTTGGTTTAAAGGGGAGCGTCATGACAACAGTGGATTAACCCTAACCCTGCCAGACGCAGCACAGTCTATCAGGGGAAAAAGTCTCATGCACTGGGAAATCAACAACAGCCGAACAAACTGGCCGTGTTGATACAATGGAAGCTAGTCCTATTGAACCATGCCACTGTTGGATCTTTTGGTGACTGGCAACCATAGACTCCCAGGCTGTTTGGCCTCTAAGAGAGTAGGACCTGTTGGATCTTGTTACACTGGGCAGGCACAAATGATGCCAATGATGAGTCTAGCAGGGTTTGTTACCAAAGTAGGATGGGGGTTAGGGTTAATGACTGCTACATGTATCTCATATGATTGCCATCACTGACATGAGAGTGACCATTCAGACCAGAGTGTGGACGCTCACAAACTTGACTGGGAACGGGTTGATCTTCAGGTTTTTTCCCAAATCATGCGGAGGTTAAATCAAGATTTCATAGGCGAGTTTTGTGAACTAACACAGAGTGCTTCTTCATGAACCGTGGTCTACCAGCTCCTTCAAAATTCAGCAGAAGGTGTCAAAAGATTTTGTAGGATTGAGGAAGAATACAGCAACCACTATAGGGTATGGTTGGTTTCCGACAAAGTGGTTGAGTTTTGACAATACAGGAAGGTTGGAAGGAAAGATGTAGGAGCTCATTAGAAAGCTAGAACACCGCATGACTGTACATACGTGTATGCAAATGATACGTTGCTATGGAATACCTTATCTGTATATATTACATGTAAATACATTACATGTAGAATTGCGTTGGAGATCTCATTTGTAAACAGTTCACACAAAATGTATTTATTTTTGTGTATATTTTCTTGGAAGCTTGTGAACACGCTCGTGCCTGTACATGTAGATGTGTAAAAAGTGTGTGTGTTTGTCAGAAAAGTGTGAGCGCTGTTCAGTGCATATTATCTGGTTTGTCCATTTACAAATATGGCGAAGTCAAAGAGAGGAATTTCTCCTTTCATTCAGAAGATTTTTTTTTTTCGTCTTTTTTCAGGTGGAATAGTAAACAAAACCCAAATTATGCTGCTGTATGGGCAAAAGTGAAAAGAAGTCACAACTTTGCCATCAGTTAAATTTCTGTCTGATAAAAGCTAGATAGGAATTGGGAAAAGCCTGGAAAAACTGAAAACTGATGGTGCGTTAACTTTTTGTGGCACCGTTAAAGAAGAGTACTGAATGCACAGATAAGTTCTGGACGGACCTGAATTCACTCCAAGTTACTTTATCTCACCTGTAGATGAAAAGGAACACAAACAACAGTTGAAGTGCCACAATGTTTGCCATTGCAAAGAATATTAAAAGCAAAACTTTGGTGTTGGAGCAATTGTTAATGCAAATGTCTAAAGAATTCCCCACCATTTTTGTACGATTTGTTCAGTTTGTATTCAGTGTATATTTGTGATTTCACTTTAAACAAAAAAAAGATGTGCAAATGTGCAAACACTAAATGAGAATTTCTCAAGAAAGGGGTAGAGGCTTTCCAAACTTATTTTTGGTCAGAATACAAAAAAGACAGTAGATTGGAAGATGCAGCTGGTTGTCTCAAAATGGAGATGTGTTTAACACAAGTCAGCAAGGAAAACTTCAACTGAAATGGGTATCTTCAGTAACTATGTGATAAACGCTAGCGTATTCATTGGCTTCCATTTTGAGACATTTGTGAAGTGACACAAATCACCAACAATGGGCAGTAACTACATGTACCGTATTGTGAAAGTTGACATTTTTGTGCTTTCTGTTGTAGTCAGATAGATATTTGATTTCTGCAGGCCAAACTTGAAATTTTATACACAAAGAAAATATGACACCATCTTGGGTGCAGACATAATTTTGAACACAAAGATGATTTGACACCAACCTTGGTGGAGACATTCTTGAATTAATATTCATGTTGTAGAACATAATTAAAAAAAGATTGAATGTATTCTGAATAATGTACATGTACTCTAAATGCAATGTGCACACAATAGACAGCTACAGTACTTTTTATCACGAGTAGGATGCATTAATCATCAGCAAAATTCATGTGCAGCGCAAATGCGCATGGCTGCCTGGTGTTTAGACAAAGCAAAACAAATTACTTATTTGCTAATAGGTTTGCACAGTTTTAGAATATAGATGCACATATGCAGATAGTCATGGAAAATCTCCATGGAAGTTTTCCCTTAGTCCGTGGAGAAGCAGGTGTCACTTTGCACAGCGAGTCAGTGCTGGAGATATTTTGTAAATCACTTCATGGCTGCACAGTAGTACATGTAATTTACCAAATACATTTATATGGTGTAATACTTGTACATGTAAATAACTTGACGATATATTCAAGAACAAATTAACTTTTTGATATTTACATGTGCATGTATACACATATACAGGTTAACACCTAGATATGTATGTGGCCAGTACTGTTTACATTTTCTTGTACATGTATATACATATCAAGTTCATGTATGGTTATGATTTTGTAAGAAGACCTCAATCTTTTCCAGACGTTAACTTGAGAAGGAACAATTTTGGCACAGAATTTACTGGTACTAATTAACTACTGTTGGTAGTAGGGTGGTGTTTATACTGAATGGGACAGTTCTTTGTATTTGTAATAATTAATGTTAAAGTCACATCTAGAAATTAAAGTGCAATGTTTGTGTAGGCTGCGTTAATTTTTTTTTGGTACCAATTTTTTTTTGTCTGTTCACTTAGAATTTGTAGTTTTGGTTGAATGATATATTTTTACCTGTTTTGGAAGAACAGCAATATACAATTACAAGAAATTTTCTTGTAACTACATGTACAGTGCTAGTGTGAGTTAATTAATCCTGTATTTTAATTCTGGTACACCTTTGCTTTTTAAGATGGTACTTTTTATGTCTGTCTGAGCAAACCGAAATACTGACCGTGTTCTGATAGTGTGTGGAGAGTTTTGTAATACCGTCTTTGTTAACACAGCATTTCAGATCACAGATGCATATATTGTCTACTCTTGTTATAAAGAATTGTCCAAACAAATGGTATTGTAAAGAATGAATTCTTAAAATTCCAATTTCTTGAACTTTTCTGTCATAGAGTTTCCATTCTTTTTATGACAAAGTCCTGGTTACAACAAAGTGATTTGACTGGTCCTTGTAACTTTGCTTTAACAATAGTAGATGTGATGTGCAAATAGCCGTACAAAATTTTGAGTTTTGAATAGGTTTGTGCACAATTTCAGATGCACCCAGCAGTCTTCACTGTGCAGTTTAGGATCGTGCTCTGGTAATTACAAACAGCTCTGTGAACTTACGAAACAAACTGCAAGGAAGTTGCACAAGATTTTCTTGTCACGATGAGTAAATGATGCCCAAAAATGCTTTACATGTACATGTACCTGTAGTGCCTTCCTTGTGTGCATAACTGCATCTTTTCCAACCCTTCGAGATCCATCTAAACCTACCAGTAGGTTTGAAGGATTTTGTAGGGTTGACTAAGGGAGACCAAGGCCGTTTTCCAATACTCAACTTCGGTTCCGTCTCAGGCGTCTCGAGCTGTAAGCGCACTAATTAGTCCAATAGTGCCACAAAACATCATATAAGATGCAAGAGAGCCAAAACTTACAGTTATCCAATTTGATTTAAACGCTTCAGGCCCACAATCGGGGATTGGTTTCGGGGACGAAGCCCGAGACGGAGACTAACTAAGCTGAGTATTGGAAAACGGCCACAGCCTCTGCTACTCTACATGGGAATTGGCGTCTTGTGTGAAAGAATGTTGCAGTGGTTTCCAACACAGTGGTGGAGTTAGGATGATTCATGATGGTCAGGAGTAGACTATCAGGACCGTATGCTTTGTCACTCTGTACTGATCAGATTCGGAATCCAAAATGGGATCTCGGTAATGGAGCACATTTATAAGGGGATGTTTATGGAAATCCATCACGATTCAAAATAAAATGCAAAGTACTGATGTTTGATAGAGAAATGGCTTCACCTGTTTTTATTATTTGGATCATTTGACTTTGGTTCAATGATAAATAGTGCATAAAATGGTATTACACAAATCTACATACATGTACATGGAGACTTTCCAATACAACTACCAGCTTACAGTACATGCTCTACATGTATTAAACATTTTCATTTTTTTCTTTTGAATTTTGGTGAATTCATTGCACAATATCATCATGCAAATAACAGTTACTTAGAATATACACATATATACTAAATTGCACTCATTTTTTGTAATTATTTTTAATGGCTGGATCATTTGAAGTCAAATTAATGTGCTGAACATTTACTAATTATAGTCATTAAATTATTAAATAAAAATTACAATATTGCACAAAATGGCTTCACACACGATAAAATGCTGCACAGAAACATATTGCACGACCATCAATATAAATACATTGGATATAAACCTTTTGTGGTTTAGCAACTCGTATGTATGGATTAAAATTGGGGGAAATGAATTCAAAGAGTTGTTTAACTTCATTGTAACTTGTAAGAGATTCTAATACTGAGAAATGATCGATGGGAGGTCTACTGCTGGAAAATAATTGCATATGTTTCCTGATTTCAAAAAAAGTCATTCATTACCGATTTGCAACATAGGCCAAATTTTTTCTTCCCAATTTTAGCACAAGAGTTACATGTGTAACTCTTGTTACATGTGTAACTCATCTAGAACCTGAAATGTTTTAGTTTTGCTCCAACTGGTAAATTTGTACCGTCATGTTTTGATTTGTCTGATAGCTGACAGTTTTTTCTCTTTTGAAAGAGTGGAATATAACTATAAGCCATCGTTTAGCTGTAGCCCTAGTGAACAGATGACATCACATTCAACATGCAGCACAGGTACTGAACACATCCTAGTCTTGATTTTCTTGAAAAAAATTTAGCATAATTTTTGAGCACGGATGATACCAGCTGCCCATGGCTTCACCCAGCAAGAAAATTTCCCACAGAAATGTCAACAGGATGCATCGTACAAGATTCATTATATGCAACATAAAATTTTCCATATTTATCTGTTTTCATTTGCATGCGTCATGAAGCATGCCGCATGTAGATACAACAGAGTGTTCTGTCAACATGGTCAATGTAATATATCAGAGAGGAAATTTATTAGCTTTGGTCCATATTCATGAAAGACATCAGTCTCTTCCACCGTCACCGTGAATTGTCTTATTATTTTTTGACCGCTCAACATCTTTGAAAAATACCACGTGTGCTTACAATTGAAGTTACTAATAGGCATTTTCTTGGGGTTGCCTAAAATAAAAAAATTACCACGTGGCATGTCCATATTACAGATTTGAATTTAGAATGCAAAAAGCACAAGCTCACTCAAGTGGGGAATTTTAGTCAAAAACAAGAATAAGCATCCAGACAACAAAATCCAAAAATGCAAACTTCCATTCAACTTTAAATCACTAGGACAACTTTTCATCTGAATGTGCACAGACTGGCAATGGCAGTAGCGTTCAAAGCTCTGTCACCAATATCTGTCCTTTCTGAGCCATGCTTTCCTGACCTCTAACCAGAAATGTGTTTGTAGCATCAGAGCAGATACTTGGAACATGTTTAAGGTGGCCAGCAATGATTTCGTTATCTAATTAAGCGAAACAAATAACAAAAATAGCAGATGCCATTGTTGGCAAACCCTGCATTTTCTATTTCTTCGTAATATCCGTCAAGTTACTTACAATTGCTGCTAGCTCTTTCGTTCCTTGGGCATACATGGGCATAACTGCAGTCACAACCAACTAAAGCAGAAACATATTTCTGGTTGCGATTGCAAAAACACGCCCAGCATAAATTCCAAAGGGAACACAGAATTCCCCTTCAGCAAGAAGAGTGTTTCCATGCATGGTAAGTCATTGGATGTACATGTACGTACTGTAACTCATATTTTGTAGAAGATTCTTTTGAAAGCTTCAGCACATTCATCCAATCACTATTCAAATTTCTGGTTGATTTGTATCAAAATCATACTTTTCCACGCCACTATTCCAGGGCGATAAGGGGCTTACTGTCTGTTGACTTCTGCTCTGTACTGCTGACTTCCAGTGTAGCAATGTTGGAGCAGCTGGAAGGAAGGTCAGACCTGCATGAATGTTCATGAAGGAAAGTTAAATAAAAATTAGACGAAATAAGGATCTTAAGTTTGCATGTTCAGGCATGAAAGCTGGATGGTAATCAGATTTTCAAATGAACAAATTGCCCAACCTTTCCGATTCCTCATCCGAAGTAGAGCTGATCCCATGGTGCACCGGGGCAGTGTTATGCAAATTAGGCTTGAAGTTGCAGCCAATCAGCTTCTTGGCCCAGGAGAAGTGATTGTATGGTGGGTTAGACCCGCCCAGTTCGGCTGGCAGCATTTCTTTGTGTATCTCTGCGTGGAGGGTGGACAGGTTGTTTCCATGGAGATATATCTGCAAGAAAGGACAAAATCAAACATCTGCAGGGAGACTGAGATTCTCTCGAAAAATTTTCATCAAAAAAGTTTTGTTAAATTTTAAGATTGTTTTGGTTCAATGGCTGCATTATGTAAGAATCATAATCCTGAGACTAACTTTCACAAACGACGCAACAAAGTCACTTTTTCAAGCAAAATATCCAAAATCTTCATCCAAATGTTGTCCGACCTTTCTTCTTGTGGAGTCTTTTAGGAAGGGCTTGCAGATCCTGAGAGCGCCATCAATGTACCATGGCTGATTGATCATATGAAGGCCGCCAAGACGACCAGGAAAACTGTCCTAAAAAAGAAGGGGGAATAAACGTCAGAAGTGCAATGTACAAGAATCCAAGCAGCAAGATCAAGTGAAAAAAAAATGTTTCTGGGAAAAAGTCTGTTGGAAAAAGATGACAAACTCACGGACCCACTTGCTTAGCCACGTAGTTTCAATAAAGAATCAAGGATTTTGTGACTCTCAAGAAGTGTGCAAGGGGGTTAGTGGAAATTTCAGACACTAACATTTTCGGCAAAGGTCATATTGCCATGATGTTTATGTACATTAGCTCACCTGAAAGATCTCAATTGTAAGTTTCATTGTGGTCGGGTTGAGATATGAGACTAATTGTTTGAATGTCGCCCCAGTCCAGTCGATGATCACATTGAAACCGTTGACCTGGGCGTCTTCGTCCTCCAGCATAAATTCCAAACTCAGCATCAAGGCTTGCAGGATGTGGAAATAACTGAAGAGCCATTCTTCCCAGTGTGCGACAAAGAAGACTATGATCCGGCGGCCAAAGGGGTCCATGTTTTCCAAGACAGCTGGAAATCCCCCGAGGAGAGACTCACGGATGCTGGTGTCCTCGGCTGAGATGTTGGCCAGGAGAGGGGCTTTCTTCCAGCGGATGTCAAAGTACCTTGCCAGAAGTTTAAATGCCTCAGTGACATCAAATTTCCTGGCACGCAGGAAGCGGAGGACAAATGCATCGTCGGTGCGCAAGAAACGCACGTCCGGTCTAGTGACGACCAGGTCGCGGACGGCTTGGATGGAGGCATCTCGGGTGGACGTGTCCTCGTTCAGCTCTTGCTGGGCCTTTTGCCAAGTCTCCAGGGAAAGTTTGGAAGAAGGTGGCAACTGATGATAGCTCATGGCTAGGACCGTCAAAGGTAAACACCTGATGGAAAAATTGCCATTAGAATGAGCAAAAAAACAAGTTGATTCTCGTGCTTCTTAAGCCTTCTTTTCACCCCATCTCCTGTTCCTTTTAGAGCAGGTTTGTCACGCCGGTTGCCTCTTTTGTAATTTGCACAATATGTGTATTTCAGCTCTTCAGTTACTAGGTTCCTTATTTCACAATTTACTGATATGTTTTTGTTAGCATAAGATAGGGTGATACCTCCATGAGACACAACATTTTAAAAGCGTCCGCAAGAAAGTTAAAAAATCAACCTCCATCTACTACCTTGGAAAAATTTGCCATCTTGGAAATAAAAAAGGAAACTTCAAGAAAAAGGGCCACTCCCATCCTTCAAAATTCTAGATGAGATATAACTTTCATTTTTGATAGGCCTATTGCCATAAGTGAGTTTGGTTTTAAAAAATAATAATGATTGGTACATGTATAGTCATGAACTGAGCAGACAAAGATAGGGTTCCATCACCAGCATCCGTGGGATACCAATAATATGGGCTGATACCGTATCATTATCAATCAATAACCAATCAGCCTGAACCTGTGTCTATGCCAGTGCATTCGTATGGATACATGTTAGTTGTAACGGGTAACCATCTCAATATCATCATGATCACTTGTTTTGGTGACATTTGTCCTAGTCTGACAAAAATAACCTACCTTGAATTCAACGAAGAGAATAAATTTTAAAGAATGGCTATCACTGCATCGCTCATCCTGATTCCGTCCCTTTTGCACATTTTCACACACATCATCTCATGACAACATCGGGTGATCCTGTACATGTACAATATTTGCATATGAGCTGCATCATCCAGGATGACCTTCGCTCTCTCCGCGGGCACTATACTAATTGAGCCTCACCGCGTTCTTTTTTCCCAAGCAGTTAATGTTACTTTTTCTACTTTGCTTCATCCACATTCTCACCGCGTTCTTATGCAATTGAGCAAAAATAAACCGTACACCTTGGAACAATTATCTCACGTGTTACGCCTTTAAATGCAACATTATACAAAATGGATTTCAAAGTTTTGAAAGGATTTTTTCCTACCTCCGTGCCCTTTCCAACTTTCACCTGATGGCTTGGACTACACGTTGAAAAATGCAGAGCAAAGCAAAACAGTTGAGAGCAAAGCTCGGATCGAAGCTGTGGTTGGAAGATTTATAGGACTGCATCAGGTGCGCCGGGAGAGGTCGTATGTACTGTACATGTATGTACATGTACATAGCTGCATCACTTGTGTAAGTTTAGCACTCGTGGTAAATACAGACTTTCACACTTTTGTAGGTCTGTCTTATAACTGGAGTTTTCAAGCTAGGCCTACTCAACCCCAACAAAACGAAGTTTTTTGCTTGGCCGGCGTCTAGGCAAGCGAGATATAGTATAAAGGTAAAGGGCAAAGCGTGTATTTCCGACAGGTCACTTTTCCCTTTCATTTCTTGAAAAAATAAAACGAAAAAAGGGAACGAGTTCCATGAACGGACAAAACTTGATGCCTCTGTACACAAACCTATGAGACTTGTCTGTAAAAAAGGTTTTCTAACTAATGTTGCGTAAATACTTTGGACATGTTGGAATTTTCTTACCCATGTTAGATAAATTTCATTTTTTAGGACATGATGTTAATTGTTATCACTTTCTGATGGCTGTTAACAAATTAATGTTATAATATTTTAAGGCCAAATTGATGTTTATAATGTATTATATGGAATTCTTTCAGAAAAGAGAACTGTCATGTAAATAGGACCTAATTGAATAGGCCAAGCCAATAATCATTCAGTGCTAAATTTGACTTTTTGTGACTTTTTTGCTTTCAGATGGCTATAGATCACTGCAGGGAAAAGTGAGTAGCATCACATAACAAGTAAGGATTGCCATAGATAACTCTTGCTTTGGGAATCATAATCCATGAAATTATTGAATTTTATAAATCATGCCAGTCTAATCTCATGTCTCAGATATTAATTTGGTTCATTCAGTGTTGATTTCCTCATTGAAAGTTTCATGTTTTTTCTTTATTAGGTCTGAGTTTCGTCACTGATTGTGCCAGTCGGTTTTGGTAATGGTATAGAAATATTTGTACATACATACAAAAGGGCTTTTGGGAGAAAGCCAAGCCAGGCTCTAGTAACTGTGTAACTCCTCATTGATCACCAAGACCAGGAATGCAAGTAGATGTCCGACATCGCTAAACAAATTTCCATGATGGGACCCGATCCACAGAACGAGGAAGACCCAGACAAGGGCTCCTCGGAACAGGAGGACTTGGGCATGCCGCAGGTGGTGATTGCCATGGGAAACGAAAGCAACGAGGAGGATGACAGCGACGAGGAAGGTACTGAGGAAGGGGCGGGGCCACAAGGAGATGGGTACATGCTGTTGCCGGAGGCCGATCAGGAGCTTGACTTCGGCGAGAATGAGGTGTGCCCAGAATGCATCTTTAGTTCTGAAGAACTACACTGTGGTCCTTACTTTAGTTTCAAGATACGTGTATGTAATTTGGGGATGATTAATATTCCATGAGGTAATAGACTGAGCTGTTGTTAGACCGCACTCACATGCACACCGTAATGTCAAGGAGGCATGTGACACACATGCACCACCTGTCCGTGAGCGTTGTGCCACCACAGTGCATGTAATGGCTTCTTGTGAATGCAATTGCACTATAGCCTGATTCTTCAGCCCCTTCCAATTCATCGTAACTGAGCTGAAGTACATATACATGTACTAGTCGCTGGAACTATCGGTAATTGCCACTTCCTTTGTTACTTAAAAAGTGTCAAGTGACACTCAGTCGTGTGTTCAGTGGACATGTAACTGCAGCTTCAAGTTATCTACATGTATCTCGGTCAATCTTGGCAAATTCCCTTGAAATCTCCCTATGTATTTTTGACGAACCTGATAAGATTGGGTACTGCTTTCTGTGCATACCACACATGCCAGGTGTTTTCTTTGCTCTTCTGATCGGCTGGCCCAAGCGTGAGCTCTGAGTTCAGAAACGCTGCCCACACATTGACAAAAACAACAGCATGAACTTCAGATTTTTTGTGTATGTGTGGCCCAGCATAGATCCCAGAGATACATGTTCATGTTCTGTCCAGCCTCTGTTGTTTCATGTGCAGTTTTTGCCCTGTGAACGTTTTAAGCGCTTGAGAATTTCCTGTTGGCATTTTTTGTCACTGGGCCATATTTTGTTTCTGAGTATTTAAGAAATGAGCCAGGCACAAGCAATTTGAGTTAAAGTGGGTACTATTTCCACACCTCTCACTGAATAAAAAGAACACCACCGAAACCCCATGATAGTATATTCTCATTTGTAATGAACATATTATACTGTGCTAGGGTTTGAATTTTGTTGAAAAAGTCACTGGACTACTTGTCTGATAATGTTTAAATTTTAGCAGAATAACACTGACCAAGAAAGACTAGACAACTGGACTTTTAGGGTCATGGGCAGTACAAGGAAGGTATCAAATTCAAATGACACGGTTCAACAGTCTAGTGCAAAATTATGTACGTGTTCCATATTTAGTTATAGTCTATTGCTGATCGTCATTTTAACACCGTTCAAACGTTGGTGACTTCAATCTTGCCCTGGTTCCTACTTAATCACAGGCAGTGGATGATGGTGCATGTGCCGCAGCACCAAGCAACCAGCAACAGCAGCAGCAACAACCTGTTCTCCCCGCCCACCTGGCCAAGCTCCTCCCTGCCCAGCCACCGGCCCGCGACCCGTCCACCGTCGTCTCCTTTGCTGACACAACGGAAAGCCTGGAGGACCGGCGCCGGGTCATGGCCGCCGACGATGAGATCCGTAAAGCCATGGCCGGGTTCTCGCTACCAGGCACGGCCATACCGCCCTGGGCCAGGGCACTCGGTGACAACGAGTGGAAGGAGCAGCTGACAAAGATGATTCGGGGGAGGGAGGAGAAAAGACATGACTCGGGTGGGACACCCAGAGGTGGAAAAACATGATTTGAGAACACTGAACATAGAGACTCTATATAATTATTTACATATTAAAGTGCAGGGGGGCTTTAAGGTTGTGCTGAATACTCAAACACTCAGTCCCACTTGAACAGTGGCAGTTTTCCTGTCTTCGATTGTGCAGGAGAACAAAAGCTTGTGAAGAATTCCATTAGTTGGTAAAAAATTGTTCCTGGTCTGTCCTTTTTTTTTTTCAATAAGAGGCATGTATTAACTTTAGCTTCAGCCATGTCGGCGTTTGAGGCATTGACCTGTTAATATTTACATGTTAGTACCTGTAGTTACATGACATTTACATGTTGGTAAATTTTAGTCTGGTTTTCTTTGTCCACTCATCCAGCTTGGCCAAAGTGCACTGACCTTATTTTGTTCATTTTTGTTAGCTATTGGTAGATTTTGACTGGCAACCTGTGCGGGTACTAGGAAAAATCGACCAGTGGTTGGGAAATGGTTGCCAATCAGAATTAGCCAGAGTTTCAGGCCGATTGTATTTTAGTTTGATAACCAATCTCTGTACAGGTCTATATAGGATATGTCAACATTTCTGGCACAGGTTTTAGAAATAACAGTTCCTGTTTCACTGTTGTGAAGATGTGTGGCCCGAGAGTTTGCCACCAGCAATGACCAAGACCTACATGTATTGTATACATATACACAAGATTTGGACGAGGCCAAATTTAAGACTGGTCAGCCGATGTCAAACAGCCTGTACCCTCAGAAGATTTACATGTATTTGTACATAGTTGTACCTGATCAAGGACAGAACGCAAAGGGAACAAAGATTGCAATGTCCTCAGTGGTTAGAATTTTGTCCCCAGTGGTAGGTAAGGCCCAGTGGTTAGTTTATGGGTCATTCCACGAGGTTGAGGCATAATTTGTGACAATGTCCGTTGTTATGTGGGTTCCGTAAAAATGAACAGCTACATGTGTTTCCCTGTTGGTTGATTCCAAATTGGCATTGTTATACATCTTGCAAGGCTGAATACAGAGGTGTGTTTGTACCCTCCCATTTACAAAGTGCCACGGGATAGTTTGGCAAGGTAAGACAGTTTATGTGAGTGTAAATTTGCCAGTAATAAACGATTACCTGTATACATATGTGTATACATACATCATATGATTGATTGTATGTTGCTGCTAAAGAAATTGTTTTTTAAAAAAATCCTCTCTTTCACTCATGCCACCCGTAAAGATTACAGATAACAATCAGTTATTTGATATTTTGTACTAAACACCCTGTGCGTTGATAGTGTTTATATTAAATGAAAGAAAAAGTGTATAGAGAATATTTCCAGATTGGAAGGTGCCTACGTGAAGCTCATTATTTTCATGGGGTGTTGTTAAAAGTATTGCCACCTGTGGAGATGCTGATCCAGGTCCCGTCTTCATGTCGGGACTCTTAGAGAGTATGCTAGCAGTCTAGCAGAGTTGAGACTGCCCAGCTCACCACAGCTTTATTTTCTGCACCAGAAATAGAAACTGCAGTGAAGTGCAGTCAAGGAGCCAACTCTTTCAGTTCCAAAAGTTAAACCTTTGAGACTCATTCTGAAGCCCAAGATCATGAAACAAAAATGAGATTTGCTCAGTAGCTCTTAAGTCAAAGACTGGATCCCTAGGGTGTATATTAAGGAACCGGTGATGAACAAGCAGAGAAGATAATAAATTGACGGCTTACAAACAATTGTTTGACTTCAGTATGAGTCATTTTGTATCAACATTCATGTAATACCTTGTGTAGTTTGGGTATGGTGGGTGTTGGGCTTGGTCACCAGGCAACATAGGAAACAACTCCGACCCTGACATTGTTGCCAAATTTCCAAGTAGGCTGGCTTAAAATGCTCATTGCTGGAGCTGGCATGTTGCCAACCACTTCTAACTCTCCCTGAGCTCGGATTAAGTGTTATGTCAGCTTTTAGGAACTTGAGCCCAGACAAAATTTCTTTGTCCATCGTGATCAATTCTGCTGTTTACACTGTTCCATTTATTATATTGGCCTATGTCACAATTAATGCTGGCATCAAAATGTTTTCATCTATACCATTTCAGTGCAAGGTGGAACTCACGGAAGAGCCAAAATTTCAGAAATTTTTCAGGTGTGAATTCCAGGAATTGTTATGTTCGCGACGGCCGGGAGGCTAGCAACGTAGACGCCTTTCCCAATAAACAGATCAAGTTTCAAGGCGCTGGTGAGCCACACACACACTTGAACTTCACTGTAACGTACCGCTATCGTCCCCACCACCAACAAAGGGCGTAGGGATTAACCAATTTGTTCGGCATGCATGACGTATTTCTTCGAGCTTTCATTGGATACAATTCATCGGGCGTTAATTTCCATTGGCAAACAACAACCCACAAGGCTTTGTAACTTGTACTTCCTTCGCAGAATTTTTGTGAAGGATATTAGCGCATACCGGCTTCTCAGTATAGGCGGTACGGGCAGTCGCATAAACCTACCTGCAGCTGCAGTTTTATGACGTCGGGGGAATTTGCGACAGTCGTTTGTGTGGCAGAAATGTGCGTTTTTTAATCAAGTTGACATCAAAATTTGACAAACGAACATTTGGATCGGTAAGAATTATGAATAAAAATATCTTTAGTCTCCGTTGAGAATCGATTACTCTTTATTTTTCACTGTGTAATGACATTTTGGCAACATTCTTGTGCTATTACTGTTTTATTGTTAGGCATGTTATTAGTGAAGCCTGGGTCCGGCCCAGGGCCTACATTTCCAGTTTATGCTAAAACGGGTATGGGTAGGCCTACTCCCTAAAATGTTATGATGTGAGGCCTCTTTGAGAATTGAGTAAGGCTTTTTATGTTGTTTAGCGTTAGAATCAAGTCAGGCATGTCAGGCGGCTGAAATTTTAATCACGCACAATCATAATGATAGGCCTCTAGATGGACTACCATAGCAAAGAGCAAGGCTTGCTCTAGCTCTATCTGTCTATAGAGCAAGCTCAGTGATGTTAATTTGCTGTTCAATTTGTCCTTCCATTTCAGCATGTTAGCATGGTTATTTTGGATGGACCAGCATTATTGCTGATACCACATGGATGATTTTGCACAATGGTAGAAAGGCATTGTGGGAAGGAAAACGGGGCAATATTTGCTCCTTTTTCCTTCACACAATGCCTTTCTACCATTGTGCAAAATTACCCATGCGGTATCAGCGATAAGGCTTATGGTTAAGATTTTGCATTCTGCTGACAAATATAAGTTAAATCAGTGTGTTGATGGTGAAATTGTGGTAATGGACGGTTCATGTAATGATGTAGCCTATAGATAATGATGGGGGGAATGAGAACTTGAAGAAAATAGGAAGATGATGGGACATGGTGCTCATTTCTCCCCAGAACGATGGGGTCCGATGTCTGCCCCGCTCCCACGTGGACGTTGGACCTCACAGTCCGGGGGTAGGCCTAGGTGCTCATTACATTGGTGTGGATATGTTGGAAGAAAGATATGGTTGCCTGGACCGTTAGACAGGGTGCACGTCACAAGTCAGACACCACCCCTAAATTTGGCAAAGTCCTCTTACTAGTACATCATTTTACTTGTAGGCCACTAAGAACTGAAAACAGTTTTATCCCTTGAAGTTTTTATTTAAAGGACTCGGCAAAAGTAGCTTCCCCAACGTTTGTAGGAAGACGAAGTCTTGAGTTGTTCTTGGTAGGAAAGAATATTTGTGCCAGTCCTTTTAGATACACATACATGTACATGTACTTGTGACTTGGTTTAGGATGAATGAAGGCATTCAGGGATGCTTCCTTGTTTAGATCTCTCCTTCCCCCTTGGAGTCAGCTTGGTTTCAAATGATCAACACCGATTGTGATTTTTTGATGAATGGACTTGTGGAGCATGGTTAATCTATATAGTTATGATAGTTCTGCTTTCCTCCAATGATTAACATAATACATGTATGTGAAGCACTGCTTTTACCAGTAACTTGGGATTCCATTTAAAAACAAGAAAAAGGAAAATTGGGCAATTTTTCTTTGGGGGTTGCAGGAAAAAAGATATGCAGTCAACCGCTCTGGCCTGGGATGAACTGTGATAGCAATGTGTCCATAACTGACTGCCTTACTTCATCACATACATGTACAGTAGTCACCTGCTCCCAAAACATGCAAAAAGGGGGAATTTAGCTCTGATGGTATCAGTGGGTTCAGTGACAGCGTTTGACAAAAGATGCACTTTGTTGAGTTAAATTCAAGAGTGTTGGCAACTCTTTCTGTTAGTGAACCATCTTTCCTAAAATCTCCCCCAAAATAAGAATGTTAACAGTTCCTGCCCCCCTTTCAATTGGGTTAGTATTGACGAATCTCAAGAACTGTGGTGGTTTGATGCAGAATTCTTCCCCAAAAATTCAGCCTTTTCAGCCTAAGAAGATGAAATCGGTTCAAGGCATGTGGAAAATTTGCCAGCATAATATTTCTGGCTAGATTCAGAACTAAGCATACCCAGTAACCGCTACATACATGTACAATGTATCCATGCCAACCCCATTTTTTTGTCAGCATACAAGGAAACACTTATTTTCTCTGTGGCCTCACTCAAATATGGGAATGAACCAGTTTGGTATTTGGAAGAGTCAAGGTTATTCATGCAAGCCAGCATACATGCACGGCATGGCTTGCTGATCAGGTAGACGTCACATGTATTGTGTTCCCAAGTGACCTTGGAGACTCTTCAATTTGGGCATTTTTCTGTTGGAATACTGAACTGGTTCATTCAGAAGGATTTTGAGGTGAGGAGAATGAAGACAATTGGCCTTAATTTGTTCTGGACGGCTTTCGCTATATTGCTCAGTGTCTCCAGTCTGAGCCAAGCCAAACGATGACGACCTTACACACTGTGGGCATGGCACAGCCATCCCAAGCTACCGTAGTCAACCAGCAGCCACCGCAGCAGACCATCACTTACCAGACTGTTCAGGCCCAACCCAAGCCGGCTGACACGGTCGTGAGCACCTACAACGTGGCAACCGCCCGCCAGACTGGCTATGTGCAGTTGGTGTGCGGCGTGCTGACCGTTGGCCTGGGTATTGCAGCCATCGTCATGGAATGCAACTATGCTTGGGTGGCCAGCCCCATCTGGAGTGGCATGGCGGTAAGAACTTTGAAACTCTAACCTCCTTCAGTGAATGTTGTTTGAATTTGAATACATTTTGTTCTTGAAAAAAAAAATTAAGACACCTCCATGTACCAACTGACCAAGCACACATGAGTAAAAATGTATTCCAGTTAAGGCTGCACTTATATGTGGTTAAACGGTGCAACTGACATCATTGGACAGAGTTCTCTATCTGGTCAACATCTATCAAATTCTTTTTGATTTGTGCCTTTACACGCAAATTATTACCAGCGGTGCTGTACGTAGAAAATTAAAATGAGGAGCCATCGGCTCCTAGAAAAAAAAAGTTGGGTGCCAGGTCGATTTTTGTACATACTGTACACACATTTGCAAAATACACAAGTTACTTGTAGTCTTACAAAACACACACAAACATTATTCAGTCAATTATCCGCAGGACAGACAGGCTTTGGATTTGTGCTCGTGGAATAAATCAAAAGTGGCACCTATATTATATGGAAAAAAAAGCTGGAAGAAAAGACGAGGCACATTTGTTCCCTTACATTCGAGCCTTTTGTACCGGCACTGGAATTGCAGCATGCATAGACTGCATCTATTGAATACGTTTAACGTCTCAGCTCCCCATACGCACTCTATACAGCGTGCAACCACAAACCAGTCCACTGAGGTACCTAGTACCTGTATGTGCGTGTATGTACATGTACATGTAAGCTGCACCGCAGTTCACGTAGGCTCATACTGTGTAGGCCTACATAGTAAGACAGAAGAAAACCAGCCTATAGAGACACATTGCTCAGTACATGTAGAAGAAAACTGGGCAGTGATCGTTCGTGAAATATGACTGACAAGGTGGGCGACTAACGGGCTCAAATCATGGTTGCTATTGGCGATAAAAATTAAACATTTGGTCGCACATTATTATTTTTAGGTGCAAATGGGACTGTTTTGGTCGCACCATACAGCACTGATTACCAGCACAGTGGAATTGGTTTATATGAGAGGGTGTTTGGTATAAACTTCAACTTGGACTTGAGACTTCAGATTTGTCCAATGTGTTAATGTTTAGTAAGGTCGGATGAGTCCAGTGATCTTCAGACTTTCTTCATGTTCTTGTGACAGCCTTGATATTCCCAATGTCTTTTCACTTTTCTAGTTTTTCATCGTGGCTGGTATTCTTGGCATAGCATCGGCTGCTAACCAGAACAACTGCGTGGTAAGACAGTACAACCCTTTAAAGGATTGCACATGAAATGCACATGATATCTCATTAGAAAGAGACCGAACTGTTTCTGAGGAGTCAAGGGGTAAAGAGAGATGGGTCATTCTTGTTACAGATCATCGCCCACCTGGTCATGTCCATCCTGGCTTCTCTCGTGGCCTTCCAGCTGATGTGCATCATGATTGTTGCAGGTCTGGCAGAGGTGAATGCATTCTGTAACCGGGAGTACAACATCTTTGGATTTTACGACCAAGAATGCTGGAGCAACGTAAGCTTCCTTCAGACTGTTCTGATTATTTGAATCGGAATATATGAATGTTATTAATTTGGCTTGGCTTTGGGAAAATGTTAAGTTTATAGTTAGGTTTTTTCCTTACAAGGGTGTATGTGTTAAGTATTCTCACTGCGGTCCAATAAGATTAGAACCCAGGAGTTCTTGTTTTCCAGTGCAGACGTCTTAGCCACTCAACCACCCAGTTTACTGAGATCAATGGGCTGGATCGAATCCAATACAACAGCGGGTACGAGAAGTAATCAGTGATATTTGTTTGGCTTTGCATCAGGGAAATGTTGACTTGTTACAAGGTTTTGCCCTAACACTGACAATGTCAAGTCATACATCGGAATGAGGACATAAGCTTATTTAAAGTTAGGTAAAGATGCATGATATTTGAATATTTATATATTCAAATTAGACTTTCAGCATGAAATGTAGTCAAGTGTTGTTTATGATTGGTGAATGAGTGTGCAGAGTCCTCAAGTCATAGCATATTCATCAAGTTGTGCATCTGTAGAAGTTAAACACTTGCAATACTACTAGAGCAAATCTCAGGGCAAAGGTATCATAACATGAGTTCAACATCCATCCATTTAGTTTCACAAGAAAGTAAATGAATCATCCATTCGGTATAAAATGAAAGAGAAGTGTAGTTATATTTCTTATTTTCTTCTGCCAGAAAGTCCAAAGTTTGCTTACTAGCAGCAATAGTTGTTTGTAATAGAGGAGTTGTGCATTTGTACAAAGTACAGTTTTGTGCATTTTCATGATTGCTGGTACTTGTGCTGTTGCTTTCTTGGCTTAAAGTCTTCCAACTTTTGAAGCTACAGTGACGTTTAAATGGTCAAACAGGTAGAAATTTGCATGTATTTGAATATTCACATACTAGAAATATGCACATATTCAAAAGTTAAATTGAGGTTTCTCATTCCTATCCTGGGAAGTAGTGGTCAGATTTGTGGGTGGAGCAACCCGTGAAAATCTTGTGTTTGTTTTTCTTTCTTTTGTTTGTGTGTCTGTGATTAGGGTGGCTGTATTGCTGTGGACAGCATCGGCGGTCTTGTGGCTTTGATTGAGCTGATTGTGGCCATTGTGGCTTCAGCCATCTGTTGCCGTAGTGGCTGTGGATCTGGGACCGTTGCTACCCAGCAGACTGTGGTGAGTACAAGTACTCGGGACTCTGGGGTGCAGTGGTTCAGTCTTGCTTGGAACCTTCCCAAGTCCTCCTTACTGAGGGAATAGACCTTATTGACAGGGAGGCCATTTTCTGTCATGTTCACTGAATCAGTCATATTCAGTGTACATTTATGGGTTGTTGCCAGACTATTTGGAGTTCCACACCTCACTTTTAGTTTTTGGGAGATGAAATCCTAGACTGGAGTGTGATTACATGTATAACACAAAGTTCTACCAGGAACATTTCTCAAATCTTGTCTAAGGTAGTTTTTTAATTTATTACAACCTGAAAATTTGGCACTGCAATTAACCTACAATTACTATGTGCAGGTGCATCACTATGTTCCAAACAGTGGCAACGTGACCATCATGACCAACCCTCAGCCATACGGCCAAGGCATGGCCCCACAACAGGGTAAGCCACACGCCAGCCTGAAAAAAATACTGCTGCGCATTCTGGAAATGTTTTCTTGCTCCTGGCAGTAAAAATGCTTGCTAATGAGAAGTGGTCGCTTGCCAGTTGCAGCTAGAAGTTTCAGACACAAAAAGCAAAAAGCTGAATCACGGCAAAGGCAAAGCGCCACCAATGTGCACTAGTGACCCAAGCCTAGCCAACGACGCTGTGATTGCCCAAGGGGCATCTACTGAGAGGGCAAATGTCATACTTGGTTCCCCTTTTTTATCTTTTTCACAGAAGGCATTTGTGTTGGGCACTGTAATGTAGGCAGTGAGGTTGGAAAATAAACCAACATTAACAAATGCCAGTGCCCTATCTTTACAATAAATTTTATGGACGATTACTTTTTATTTGTCAACTTAAGTGAGCTTTTATACCACATTAATCCAAAAAAGAGTTTGCAAAAAGGCGTCAGTTTGCTACTATATCAGCACAAAGCTTAACCTGATCTTTGTTTAGTCCAAATTTCAAAAGAAATCTCTGTGCAAGAAGAAAGCTTCCGGTGAAGAAACAGCACTAGACTTTAGGCCCTAAATCTGTAAATCTGACTTTCTACTTCCAGTAGCATAGACCAGGATGCATTGTGAAAATCCTTTCCAGTATGTTAGTCTCTCTTTACCCACGGAATTACCCAAGAGGTTGAGTGGCCTTTGTCAGTGGGATTTTCCCAAGTTGAACCATTAGTCCTCTCGCCATCTCGAGCACAGAAAAAAATCAATCAAAACGAATCCCCGGACAAACCCTTTTCATTTCTGCACCTGCTTTTTCCCAACAAATTCATCAGTGCACATGGTGTATTTATGTGCAGTTCAGTACCGGTGTTGTATCGTACAATACAAAAAACCAGCTTTGTCCGTGTTGCATAGTTGGTGCCCACAGTGTGTGGGTAAGCTGACGTCCCACTTGCAGTGAACTTTGAATATTATGAACAATGTACAAGTAGCAAGTCCTGCGGGTTTTCCCATGAAAACAGTGCTGGTCTTGCTCAGTGGTTGGTGTGTCCAGAATTCTTAATTTAGCGTGGTTTTGCCTTGTGAACTCAGCCATTGCTCTGAACTCAAGATCCTATAAATACAGTTTTTGTGTTTTGTTTTTGTTTTTGTTTTTTTAAATCTTTGGTTTCAGGCTACATTCAGCCACCTAGTCAGCCTGGGGCTCCTCCACAAGCGTACAACAACCAGGGTTTCCACATGGCCCCTCAGACATCCGGGACTGCCCCCGCCATGCATGCGCCCCCTCCCTACAGCTGTGAAGACAAGATGCCTATTCCACAGTCTTAAAGCGGGCTGGAACTCACTGCCGAGAACACAACTCAAACCCGAAAGGTAGCACGAGTAACCTTTAAAACTCGACTTCTCAAAACTCATCATTTTGTGTACACAGTCTGAGAGCTGCTGGTTTTCCATTTCAGAGATTTGCATAGCCATTTGTGGTTTTTTTTTATCAGATTTTGTCCATTTTTGTAATATGTGAAAAAGAAGTTTCAAGCTTCATCATCTGGTTCTCAAACTGGTTGTAAAATTCTTTCCAGATGTAAAATATTCCATCAAGCTTTTGCTTTTATTTGAAAACATTTTGTCAGTTTTTGACTCACTAAAATTTGTCAGCTAGCACAAACCATCTCCCAGTGCCGAAGATGAGAAAGCGCATAAGATAAGATGCAAATCAAAGGGATAATTTCTCGACATTATATTGTATAGCGCCGTCTTGCTAACATGCACTGAACATACGTGTACATGTGTACGAGTAGGTTTTGTTTCCAACATTTGAATCCTTGGCCGAGTTCAGACAGCTTTTTCTCATAAGTTCACAAACAGCTCGATATGTTGTTTGTAAGTCGGCCGCTCAAATGCCAAGATGGTACAACAGGTTATTGCTGGTGTAGTTAGTGGCAGTTAGCAACATGCATTATTATGGCGGCGCCCATACACGTTCTTTGAGAATTAATGTTCGGATAACTGGGCTGATTTCTACTCTGTTTAAAAAGAAACATTCATTTCTGACTTACGGAAACTTATTGATAGTATTTTTGCATAACTTCCTGTTGTCTTCATCTTTGTAAGCCATCTCGCTATTTTTTGCGGCTGTTCAAAAATTAAAACCCCACGAGTATTTCTTTGTGTTCCTGTAAAACCCTGATGAGGAGGTGGTGTGTGATCCTGTTCCAAGAACAATGTTCTTGGGTCCTGTTCCCGCATTTCGAGCGCGAGAACAAGAAACCTGTGTCAAGAACATATGCCCGAACTCGACCCTTGAATCTTTGTTTTTCTCTGAAGCGGGAAATCATTGGTCTTGGAACCAGCAGTATTTTTATTGCGATGGAACCAACAAATATTCACATTAAATGTTTCATGCCAAACATTTCATTCACATCTATACCAAAAAAAAATGGAATTATGAAAATTACTATGGTTAATGTTATTGCATCAAACCAAGTTATTATTCACGAGGTAATTTACATGTACACGTAGTGCACAGAAGTAAACAGTTTTTCCATGTTCAATAGTTTGAACACTTTACCCTAGTAATTAATATAAGCACCAGAATTTTATCTCTATTACTTTAGCCAAAGGTAATTACTCAGATATTCAAGCACATATCAGACAGAAATTCTGACTCAAATATTGAGCATTTTGCTTAGTCAAAATAGGGTTCTAGCATTGTCTAGGGTCTGGACTTTTATTTTTAATATGAAATGTTTCCTTTTTTTGAAAGCATATCAAAGGCAAATTATTTACATCTATATATATGTACACAATACAGTGAATGTTTTATTTGTTGTTTGGCAACTAAAACAAGAATCCAGTTATCATTACACCCCTCATTAGCACTCTGCACGTTCGGTTTTTTTTTTCCAGGGGATTCTTGGGTATTAAACCAAAAAGAAAATGAACAAACAATTTGAACATTTGCCATGAAACCAAAACCAAAATTGAACAAGCTCATTAAAGATTTTGAGTCAGTGCCCCAATTTTGGAGCCAGCCTACAACCAGCAGGTGCATGTGTAGAAAAAATACCGGTTGCTCAGGCTAAACAGTGACCAAAACATTTCTTAAAAAAAACAAACAATATCAGTACTTGTGAGGTATTATTTGGGGGGTGAGTTGGGGAGTGGGCAGATTATTGGAGCCAATTTAATGAAACTTACACTATGGTGTAACTGAAGTTAAAGGTATGCTATATTTTATTATGCAAATTGGGCTTCATGAAAGTTAAACACTGCATAAGTTTGCAGTTAATTGGTAGTGGCATGACTTTTGCACTCATTTAGGTAGCATAAGTTGCACCAAACAAACGTACCATGTTCCGTAATGCTTCATGATCAAGATAAGACCAAAAATTTTGAAATAGCGGGCAGAGCTACGTGTAGGTACATGTGCAAGACAGCCTCATATTGAAAAGGAGCAGCGTTATTAAAGGTGTTATTGTCCTTACCTAAGATATTTAACAGAATTAAATCATTGCACACCTTAGCAACTTTTCAGGAAGTCGCTGTAAGTACACTGTGCAGCTGACAGGCTGATTCCTACCATGCTGATTCATGATGCAAAGTCGTGCCAAGTTTCGATAAATTGACTGCTGGAATGATGCAACTGCACACCAGTCTTTCAACTGTTACAACTCATGTGCTTTAAGTGCACTTCATTGAAAACCAAATCAGTTTTCCAGTTCGTATCAACTCGTTACACCGAATGACAGTTCAGTGTATTGAAAACGTGTTTCTCTGACAGCCCTGTGGAGGCGTACAGTTGCCAAATTGCACTTCCGTAAGTTGCTCAAGTTTACAGGTCAAGTTTTGGCAGTATAAATACGTTACCCCCAGGGAGTTATGTGCTTTGTGTTGCCTTTCGCATTGATGTATGGATTAGACATTTGTTTGTGCAGCTATTTTAGTATTGTGACGCTGACGTGTACCAAGTACTCAGAGTTTTCTGTATATTTACCAGCGTTGTCTCTTTTAAATGCTTGTACATGTAGTGTGAAATTTGGCGATCTGCGTTTATTTATGTGTTAATAGTCTAAGATATCTTTGTGTGTGGATTTTACCTGTGGTAAAATGCAAAGAGTTGTACATGCATGCCTTCACTTCCGACTTTACAGTGTATAACTGGACCTAATTTGGTCAACTTGCAATGCAGACAGGCTGCTGTTTTCAGAAGCAAATTTGTTTTAGCAGCAGTGCAGAGACGGTTTAAAAACTTGGTCCATTTGTGTCGGTGGCTGTGGTCGAGAATGAGCACTTGTCTATGGGGAATAGACATGATAGATGCAGCCGATACTCATTGGCTTCTACAGGTCTGTGCATTATTGTCAGCCGCAGCCGTAAAATTTGTTCCAAGCCATAGACATTGTCAAATGTGTTTTTATGTGACAGCCGACAAGCAGCAAGACATCAGTTTTTCTACGATTTTACACATTCTTGCATGTGTGAGTTTTGAGGCGGAAGACTCAGAACGCATGCCTGTTGACAAGCGTGGCACGACGGACACCATGAACAATGAACTTCAGAACACTGAGAAATTTCAGAATGCTTTCCATTGGAAGTTGACTGTGAATTCAAAACAAAGATCACTCCCCAAGTTAATCGCCTGTTGGCTTTGCTGCATTGCAAGGAACCTCTCCAGTCGCCTTTTTGAAAATCACTGGCGGTTTTGTGGATCATGTCTTTTGCTGCGGAACTTTTTAATGACCCATTGCCAAGTCCAGAGCATTTACGAGCACGGTCAATCACTGTACATGTATGTACAACGCCAGTGTTCAGCGTTTTACTTTCAACTACATATGATGTACCATTGTTTGCGTAACATCTGATACTTGGAAAACTTGCCTCTTTTAAGTATTTTTTAAATATTTCTTTCCATCTCAAACCTCTTGCCAGTTTAGTTTATGCCCGCCCGTTTTGTTGTGTGAATTATGTACCTAGACATTCATCCAAATTTTTCCAACACAGGTTTTGAGAATTGATGTATGCTTAACATTCTTGACTGTTATTTTCATATCTATTTCTTGAGCTTAAAAATTGTCCGTCAAAAGGAGAAGTACTACCGAATGTAAATTCAAATAAATGGAGTCTTTCACTCCTTCAGTTTCAATAACCCCAAATATGTTTATTCCGATTCTAACATGAACATTGACAGTTGGCACAACACTGTCCGAATTTCTTATGCTACAGATTTCAGGGTCAAATCCTGCTCCAATCCGTTTCTTAGTTCATCATGATACTTGTAACAATTTTTCATTTGAGATAAATACCAGCAAAACCTGTTCAGTGTTCACTTATTTTTGTCATTCAACAGTGCCAAAGAGAGACATGTTTAATTCAGAAAAGAAGACTTTTATCATGAATGGTTTTATCACGTAACATTCTGGAATAAGTATTTATTTATTTTTAGTGCCCTATTTTATTTGAAGTAAAAGTACTGCATAAACTTTTAACAATTAGCTGAAAATAAACTTATTTAATGAAACATTCCCACAGAATGGGACATAATGACATTGATGAATTGACAACAATTATGTGTGGACCAGTGTGAGCTCATGATCATTCAGGAAATATTAGTCGTAGTTTCTGCTGAGGTTCAGAAAAAAAAACCCAAATGTCCAGCAGAATATGTTCACCGTTACCGAGTTTCTTCCTAATGTGATTATCATGTAGCCTTGTATAGCATGAGTATAAATGTTATCAACCATTCCTGATAAGTGAACTGATGTCACCTCTTATCCATTTCCTCTTCATGAGCATTGCTTTGGCTAAATTTTGAGACCGATTCCGTTTATCTTTGCATTCCATGCATGTGTGTCATGGGCATGCACATCGACCTGTGTCACTTTTCAATCCAAGTTAGTCCAAATAAGAATGCAAAGAAGTTATGGCATGCCAAAACGTTAATGCCCTTCAATACTGCGGCGGGTCAAGTGACCTTTAAGATTTAAAATACATTATTTGGAGGCTGTTAAAGTGACAGGACACTCATATGTAGGCTTTGGGTTTTTCAATTAGCTGAAAGAAAAAATGTCTCCTTGCAGTTTGCAGTGTGCTAGCCGTGGTTTCCAATTTTCGGAATACATCTCGCTTTGTGTGGTTGCTTCTCTAGGATACAAAAGTTTTGATTTCATAAATATCTACGTACTCAGTATGTTGAGAAAACTTACTCAGTTGCACAGCAATTAGACACAGAGCAAGAATTACATCACATTTTCACACCTTGTGCAAAGTGTACTGGAAATACTGGTATTTGGATAGCATAAATGATGTGTGGTCAAAGTAAATGTCCCACAACTGCGTGCTTCAGTCACATGCACCACAAGTCGCAGATACCACTTTATTTTGCTCATTACAAGCTCTCTGTCATTATGATAGCATCTGTATTTTGCAGTTAATTAAATATAGAAGCTAAGTAATGACATCCGTGTATGCATTGGGTCTGATAGGTACTCACCAAGCTGGTGACAGACAATTCTAAATAAAATACCATGAAGAATTCTGTTTACAAATTTAATACATCAGTACATGGACCTACGCATGTATGTAATCGTGTCATCATGGTTGCTCCAAACAGAATTTTAGAAAATACCAGCGGACGTTAAAAACCTGTTGCAAGGTCTCTCTGAACATTTGAAATGTAATTTTATTCTGCATTGTGGAACTTTACACATTAATATGTACATGCTTGCAGAAATAGTATACAAGGTTGTGAATGTAACTTGCTGCACTCTGTAAGTGATCAATAAAGCACCCTAAATCATAGTTTATCGTGTTTTTGCCTATGTTTGTGTTGTGTTGATAGCTTACACCCTGACCAATTAACCTCAAGGGCGCTACAGGTTAAAGATCAAGGTGAATGTGGGTATTACCCCAAAAAACCTAACTCAAAATACTAGACATGTCGGCTACTTGCAGAGCCCCACAAAAACTCTGAATTTGACATACGTGGGTACAGCTGAAGGTCCCTTCCTAGCAATGCATGAAGGAGAATTCATGGGTTGAGGGGGAAATCATATGTCAAAAGTAAAGGAAAACATATTGTTTTCAGGCATTTCTGTTCATATTTGCTGTTCGTTTTATTACAAATGGCACTCTGTACACATTTTAAGGGTATGACAAATATGCTATACATGTAAACATTGACCTAAACAAACTCCATGTCCACATACAAATGACATTATAGAAGTACAGCTATTGAAGCCTTCAGAAAAATGGTAGAACTAGAAATGAAAGGACATCTACATATGGATCCAAACATTGAATTTCAAAAAGGAACAGCGTGTAATGCAACAGCCAAGATAAAATTTTGAGAAATTTGTGAAGTTTGGGGGAGCAGTAGGGACGCTGCCAGCTGTCACTGTTGCAAAGATGTGAGTAATAAGAGTCTGTCTCTCTGACAAAAAAAGGAGCAAATACACTTCCTAAGCTATTGGTTACCAGCTGAAATGTCATATGATGAACGGTGTGAGTGACTGGTACTCTGCTGACTTGTGCTTGCCACAGATTTGATATGGGGAGAATGACAAATTACACAGGCAGTAACCTCAAGGTTTAACCCTGAGGTGTCCCCCAAACCCAGTGAAACCTCATAAATATTTGAAGCTGCTTCAAGAAATTGGGTCCCAGCTATTGTTTTTGCTGTGGCTGAAAACAACAAGCAGGCTTATGGAAAGCCACAGCCTTAGCCACTCCAGCCACTTCTCATAGACACATGTGTTATTCTTATCCCCAGCCTCTAAATGTGGGCTTGTTTATGCACCTGCTTACACCTGCACATGCCATCTTAATTGAGGCTACTAAGCACTTGCAATCCAACAGGAGCATTTCTCTGAAGAAAAAGTGAGAGATTGGGTATCATTTTGCAATCAATTATATTTTCCCCAAAGAAATTCAACTTAGCAATATTTGTTCAATCTTTTTCATACTGGCTATGGCATTAAGATGGTAACTGGAGAAAGCTCTCCGGCATCTAAATATTAAATGACTCCCCTTTTTAAAAAAGTGCACATCCTCAAGATTACAAATCCACCGTGTATAATCACTTCATTAAAACTATAAAATGTGTGATTTATTGATTGGCTTAGAGCCAGAATATGGGCACTTGTGCAGATTGACTTTTGTGTTCTTGTTCAACTCAAAAATAAATTACACTGTCTTCTACAAATCACATAAGAATCATACAATACATAACATAATGACAACATACACTGTATATACTTTCACTTATTAAGCTTCTATCATGCAATATGCTAAGTGGCTATTATTAACAAAAGCAGTGACTTGAGGAAGAGACTACTCCTGCTAAAGGTTAAAGGTCAGCATTGGGTCATACCACCAGCTTGAGCTGTGTCACTGGGTCTGACAAAATCTAACAACCAAAATTCAGTCTTATGTAATGACAATGTATAACTTTTTAAGCCATGCAGATCTTCATGACAACCTGAGGTCAAGCTTTCCGGGTCTGGCTGCGACCCATACGCCAATGTGCAAAGAATTCCCAGGTCATTTCAACAATGATTCCCAGATCATTTTCTTTCAACAGGAAGGGTTTTTTAATCACTTTGAGGCCTCCTCTGAAATCAAGATAGCGGGACTCACACTTCCCTTTATAATTCACAATTCCAATTCAGACAAATCAGACACATAAGAATATCTGACTACACATTATTCACATTTCCTATATGCACAATTTTTTTATATTCACATTACTGTTTCCACGGTGATAAAAATTTCACTAAACTACCCAAAAAGATCCAGAGAGACTTCATTTGTACATTCTTGCATTGTTTTGGCTGATACATTTCTTTAACAATTTTGCAAACAATCTTTGCTTTTCCTACAAGCAGGCACACAGTGGAATTTGACGTGTCATAAATGTCAAAGCTGTAATGATCCATAACCATGCCACTGTTTTAAGCCCATGTCGATATCTAGAGATTACCTTGCCATGTTTCTTTCTAGCGAGCTAAAAAATCAACAGCAGCAGCACTTCTCAATTTTTCACAGTCACACTCGCGAGTAATAGTGCTGTAGTACAAATACTTGTAACTGAGTACTCTTTTTCTGCAACCGAGCTCACACGCACAGAAATGAGACATGAGAGCCACTTTTGAGTTACAGGCCCTGAAAATGATCTTGCTCCATGGAAATCGATGGGAACCCTTAAATTTTTCAGCTCCACAATGTCCATTTTCATCCGGATGCCATCCAAAAAGCTTGGCTTGCTTTCCAAATGCAACCTTAAGTGAAATTACTGAAAACAAATGGCCCTTGTGACTCATTTTCAAGGAAGGGGGGGGTCACAAATGTACTTGACTCCAGCACTATTTTACAAGATCCAATACCCACCTGTTGGAAAGAATCACAAACATGAATCACCAGGCTGGACATTCTCACAAGTTTCCTTTCCAATTTTTTTTCAAAATGAATTTTCAGTATGCCCACCAAAAAACAGGATTAGCAACGGCCTTTGCCTGGTATACACCTGCAGAGAAACCAGTCATAGCACACTACAACTTACAAAAATTGTTGTGACTGGTACCCTGACTTTCACATATTTTTGGACAGTAAAGCCCATTAGCCGAAAATATTTCCGGACAGTAAAGCCCATTAGCCGAAAAGATTGCATGGAAACGCTGCAAAAATTTTTGACATGTGGAATAGAGACTTCCCTCTTGAATTTCATTTATCACTCGTTTTGGCACAGACAAACCTCCCCCCCCCGAAAAAAGAATAGCAACATTTGCAAAGATACACATACTTCCAATTTCACTAAATGTACTATTTTGCCAATTCTTCCTTTTGAAGAAAGGGGCACTGCATTGTTGATTGTCTCTCTAAGCAACTTCTACGTATTTTTGCTTTCCTGAAACCTCTGTTTCAAAATAGCAAGGCAAGACAGAGGAATCAAGACATTGCACACGCAGAACCCAGCTGCCTGCCGCCTGGGAAAACTTCTGCCGGAATTCCCCCCGAGGGCGCTTGACCCCCCGCAGGCCATCGCCAAAGTTGAACAGCAGATACAGTTTTTGAAATGGGCTTCCCCATGCAGACGAGAAAAAAAATCCCCCGATTTTTTAACAAGATTCTACCCATAGATCATTTGCCCAATTTCTACAACATACCTACCTGTTTTTTTCTAGACGGCTTTATATAAAATTAGCAATTTTTTATGGTACACTTTTTACATATCTGAACAATTTACATGCAAAGTGTAACAGCCTATTTGAGGTATCACAGAATAGGAGGGTGCCATTTGTTGGGGTAAAACCTTTTCTGTTGACTCCAAATTTTCCCACTTGAAGAAGCGCCCTCCCATTACATCCACCATGCTTCAGACAGGCTAATGATGTGCCCTACATAATGTACATGTACATCTGTCTATTTACACAATGGCTCCAGTTCAGAGTTACTCCCTCCCTGACAAGATGATGGAAGAGTCAAAGGTCAAATCTACTGGATAACTATTCAGTTTCAAATCTAATCTCACATTCAGTTTATCTATAAGTCGTTTACAATCAAATTTAGACTCAAACCAAACCTAATTTCTCCAAAGTTTACACAAACGCAGATTCGTGAATTCAAAGAAACTGATTCAATGAAAAAAAAATGGCTGAGAACTTGTATAGAAATTGTGTAGCGTTTTTCACTGCTCAGTTTGAAAAATTTTTTTTTTGCAAAAACCCTCTCCAAAGGAAATGACAAAACTGCCCGATAAGCTACAAAATATGTCAGGACAGCTACTACTTACTGGCCATTTTTTAGATGTGGCAAAAACAGCACTAATGGAAAGTGGATGGCATTTGGCTTGAGTTTGTTCGGAAAACCTTCTCCAAATTATGGTGCAACTTTGAGCACACTCAAGTGTATTTTGCAGCTGTACTATCGGTACTGGGCTACAAAGAACGGTTGAATTGGGTTCGATTTCATGGAATGAGAGTCCTTTTTAAAGCAGGACGAGGAAAGTCCTCATGATTTTGTAGCCACAGGAAATACCCCGTTGCTGTCTGCTGAGGGTGGGATGTTTACACGTTTAAACCAAAACAAGTTCCAAATCTGTTTACAGATTTTCCCAACAGGTTTTAAACGGAACCATACCTTTTAGAAGTTTGACGTTTTGATAGATGAAATCTGGTGTTCATTTTTGGTGTGAACGATACCTGTAACATACTGGGGTTTTTTCCCCTTCGGCATCCAGGCACTTTTTGAGAAAAAAGTGGATTCTAAAACAATCTACATTTTTACATTTGTTGGGCCATGTACATTGTTAAACCATATAATTAAGCATATATGAAAACACCGAGGTAGGCAGCAGCCTATGTAAAGGGTTGGCTAAACGTTAAACTGTCTGGGAAAGTTTTCTAAACATTTTTCAAATTAACGTAAATTCCCACCCTAACTACCTGCAAACATTTCTTTCTTATCAGTGAGCCTTCAACCTCAGCAATTCATAAAACTGGACCGACGATACACAGCAACATAAATCTACTTCCGAGCTGTGCATTTCAGAGATCACAACCCGACCGTGCTATTTACAAATCCGCTTTTTTTCAAGCTGATATTCCATGGCACAAAATGCTGGTAGTTATTCTCTCAATTCGAAGCCAGTTGGAGCTTGCCAAATCGACTGAACTATAACTTGACTTCTCAGGTACCAGAAAGCCCACCTGCTTCTCGGTCAAAGCTGAAATCAGCAGTATTTAATGTCCACACGGAATTCCTTGAGTGATACAGACGTAGGTGAAGTTTCGGAACTGGGAAGTTGGGTGGATACGACTCAAACTAAGATGAAAAATAGAAACTGAACCTTTTCTGTAACAAAGCTGCAATGGGTGAAGCACGCTGCCATTCGCTGTTTCTCTGCACTCCTGTGGCAGATAAATTGGCTTCTTGCAAAAACTTTGGCAAGGAATGCATAAAAAACAAAGTGGTAGAAGTATCCACTACTGAGCTCTAAAAGTTACATCTTATAGAACTTGATGCAAATTGCAATTCACAATACGACGACTCCCTCTGTGGTCACTTAGAAACTCCACAATACATGTTTGGCCCTGCTGTCGGTAAAACGTCTCCAAATGCATCCAAAGTTGCCAAATGCAATCACGATAACAATAGCACATCCGCATAAACAGAACTGATAACTGTACACACAAAAACAACCTCCACTGTCTCAAAACCACCTGCTGAAAACCTGCAGGCTCCAACCTGGTTAACGCCCAACAAGCTTGACAATGTCTAACAAGTGATCTAGCCTTTGGAAGAGACCAGACGATGGACGTGCCCCCTCAGATGAAGATGCCGTTGGTCAGGTACTGGAAGCCGTCGTACAGCCGCGTAGTCAGCGAGTGCATGCTAGACTCCACCATGTTCTGCGTCCACAGCTGCAGCTGTTCCTCCGTCAGGTTGGTGTGGAAGCGGTCGCGGAACGCTCGCACCGTGCTGGCGCCCTGCTTGAAACACGTCAACTGAGTGCCTATGCCAAAAACAGGAAACAGGGAAACGATACTGGAGTATCTTTGAGGTGAGCACATAACCGGTTTGAAAGTGTAGCTGCAATGAATTTTTCTTAGACACAGTTATGCTTCAACTTTGTGTTCTTTTTCAACGCATGAAAACACTTCTGCATTCCATTCGGTTAAATGCATTGAAAAGTGCACTTTTTTAAACAATTAATGTTGGGTTGGGTTGGGTTTGGTTTATTTCCATTTATCTTGTTGTGACATAAAATTACATCGGTTGATGCACATGGTGAACAGTGGAAGCTGGCAGAAAGCTACTCAGTGCTTGTACAAGGCCAGGCCCCCATTATGTACATTTGAATACAATGAGAAAAGATAAGTGAGACAAGAAAAACTTAATAAAGATAATTATTTCAAAGAGGAAAAAGGGCGTAAGTATGACAGAAAATACTCAGAAACCAAAAGAAAAGAAGAAATAAAAGGTTAATCTTGGACATGTTACCCATGCTTTCCTGAACAACCGAGCGAGCTGTTGCTGTGAAGTCATCTTAGGGAAGATATAGTTCAGTGCATAGGTTTCTCTGTTCAAATTGCGAACCCAGAATCTACTTACTGAAAACATTTCTGAGAAAGAGATTAATGCTTATTGCTGTGCACATAAACAGCAATAAATCAGCAAAGGGGAGAAAACTGAATCCAGCAAAATCTCCAAAATGTAAGACTTTTTGTGTATAAACCAAGGTAACATTAAGGCTCCTTTCTGAGATGGCATCACAGTTTTGCTCATAAATATGGAAATACTAATTAGCATAAAGACAAAAAAAGCAGTAATATACCCTTTGAAGTAGTGAAACAAAAGTTGAAAATAAGGTTGACCAAGACACAATGGTGCATTTAACCCCTTAACAACAGGATTCTTTTGACCGCAACTGCTGGGCTGTGGTATGCCCTGAATGGAGGGCTTTGTCCATCAGCAGGCCCCATTGAACCAGCAGCTGCATGGTGAATAGATTGTATGTGTGGTATGCACTAATGCTCACACAAAGGTGCGGTAGTAGCAGTCCTCCATAGCGAAGGGGTTAAAGGTTTGTACTGAGACAAATTGATTGCAGCTGCCTTTTAAGGCTGCCTAAACACTAATACCAGTTAACTCATGATTAAGCTGGTTTAAAATTTAACTAACCTGATTGAAGGACTTCAACCAGTTGAACCAGTTTATCTTGGTGTTTCCTGGCCGCTATCAACCCTTGCAGCATCAAGATCTTAAAGTATTCAAACATGTCACTTCCAACACCACCCATGACCTCGAGAGACAAAAAACACAAGGAGGAATTCACAATCATTCAATCTCTCACATCGAAGGTCGGTGAAGTGTCCACCAGACCCAGAGATGAAAGGCGTCCTTCAACCCATTTTGACTTGGCTTCCCACATGACAAGTACAGGAAAAATGCAAAATTGTAGCCGAGGTCACTCAAGGTTTACAGTACATCAAGGTTTTATGAGGCTTAACAGTGTTCTGTATGGTACATCAGAGGAAAACCTCCGGTTGCTCCTGGTTTGATGTTACTTTCTTCCCTAACAATGCTCAGCTTTTGCCCGAGTTTACAATGGCTTTAATCCTAGCTGTAGGTGGTTGGGTCAACTCACCTCGACGAACTCGGGCGTGAGTTTAAAGTGGGACGCCTCAAAGCCCAGGTTCCGTGGCGAGGAGGACAGGATGAAACCAAAGTCGATGTGGATGATGTGGCCAGTCGGGTCCAGCAAGATGTTACCGTTGTGCCTGGGCGTGGAGAAACAAGATGGAGAAAGAATTCCGTTCAATTTGTTGGGGTGACAAAACTAACATTTCACTTCAGTGGGCAAGACACTAAGGCCTGAAACCATGAACAGACCAAGAAAGAGAAAATAGTAAAGTTGTGGGTGGAATAAAAACTCAAGAATGACGTGAATAAGGGCTTGAACACAACCGAGATATGTGGTCAATAATCTTGGAATCGCAATAACTAATAAAGGACAGCTGATAATCAATAACTAATGCTGATAATTGATCTCTCACCGATCCTTGACTTGAATCAAATAGCAGACCAGGCAATAGGCAGCGCAACTCTGCACAAAGTTCTTCTGTGCAGTCAGGAAACCCTCGGTGCTGGGACCGCCAAACTCATTGTAGAAGTAATTGAGCAAAGACACCTGAAAAGTGACATCCAATAAAGGAATGGTCAAACTGTCTGAATAAAACTAGACCGAGTGTTTGTTGGCTTTGCTGTGCATGGGGTATTGAATTGTTCCCGAAATGTGTTTTGTCTCGGTGGAAGATCTGTGGTTACTGAGTATGAGCTTTAATCGAGATGTTGATTTACAATCAAACTGGCAGGTTTTGGTAAGTCAAGCCCTTTCCAGAGACACTGGTACCAGCTAAGGTATTCTAAGTTCTCATTGGACAAATTACATTGAAACCCAACACTAATAATTCTGCAAATGTCTAGTATGTTCATGCCCACATCACCGTGATTAGCGACCTAAAGGCTTTGTGTGCATGCACACATCGCAGTGGTTAGCAACTCAAAGGCTTGTATGTTCTTCATAATTTTCTGGCACAGATTAGCCACTGTCAGTGATTGTGATAGATACATTTAAGAGGGTCACAACAAAATGAGGGTAAAGTCTCATTCTGCTCCTTCCTATTTTGAGGGTTCAAAGTTGTATTAAATGGAGGTCAATTTTGGGGTTGTGTAATGTTTGTAGATTAACCCGTCTCCTATTTCATTCCAAATTTTTCACAGGATCATAATTTTAAAATGTCATTTTTCAGCAATTTTGATGATAGGATTATTCGTGCCTGGTCAGAAACGTTGAAATAATGTTGGAAACAAAGACGCAAAGCTGCCAGAATAATGTTGTATTGTCATCTTATACTTCTACCCCAAGTGTTCCATGTATATGCCATTAGAAAGCTCTTTTTCTGGTGAATTAAAAATACCAAAATTTCAATTCTTGAAAATTCCGACTTTCAGCTCATCTGATGACAGATCACAAATAGAATTTGGCTCATTGTGAAGCCATTGTTTAGCAAAGATGGCTTAAATTAAGTTGTATTTTACTTTCACTTGTGTGATGGCGTCCTTTTTTTCTGAAGACAGTTTATCCCACCTTGCTGTTTTTCTTGATCTGGTGCAGGGAGACTGCATTGATGATAGGTTCAATCAACCCACTATTGCTGGAGGTGACCACAATGTGGGAGGGGCGGACCCAGAGGGGGACGTGCTCCTGCTTCCAAATATTCTGCACGAGGGCAAGCAGACAAACACAACACCTTCTCAAAGTTGTAATAATCTAAGTTCATCAACCTTCAACCATCCCAGCCAGATTCTTCCAAGCGTATCACAAGATTTTAAAGTAGTTCACAGGACTGAGAATGGTAGGGCCCGGGCAATCACTACTTTACGTGAACTGATGCCTCTGAACAGGTGGAAGTACACAGAAAGCCCCTCTAGGTTCTGGCACAGAGGCTGCTCTGGGATTCACAAAGGCTTTTACCATTAGATCAGTTCTGTAGCAGCTGGCGGTGAGTGCGATTTGATCTCTAACCTTTCTGGTACCCATTCATATTCCTGAATGGAGAGAGGCAATTGTTCTTGTTTTAAGTGTCTTGTCTAAGGAACACAAGCACAGTGGCACCTCAGGGGTTCCAACCCATGAACCATTGTCAACGGGCAAAAAAAACAACAGAACCACTGGAACGTGGTACTCTGCTATCCATCCACCACAAACAACAAATAACATTTGATAATCCATAAAACTGCCATCCAGTACAGTTACCACTTGCCGATGGTATTACATTGAGATCACCAGACAGTCATTTGTGTGGGTGTAAACTGTGAATTTCTGAAGAATTTTGAAAACGGAAAATCTTGAAAGTCCCCCCGGGCATACATTACGCCGCTTCAAATTAAACCCGGCGGCATACGATTGATGTAATGTGGTTTGAGGCTTCAAGCAGTCTTGCTATACCTGTAGTTGCTTCAGAAGCTGGTACGCCAGCAGCTCTAGTCTCAAGTCATCGCCGCATTTGACAATGACCGACAGCAGATGCCAGTTGGGCAGGTGACCGTAGGGTGAGGACTCCCGGATCCGTTTGACCTTCTCCTCCCAGGGTTCCTTGAGGGCTGCTGCTGAGGGGTCCTCTGGATCTCGCTGAAGGGTTTGGAGAAAATCGCTTATTTTCAGAAATGATTGAGAGAGTATTCTATTAATTCAATTTAACACTTGTTCCAAAGTTTACTAGTTAAAGAGGAAAAAATACCGTCATGAGATCAATCGTTCAATCTAAGATCTCCTTACCGCATGAACCAACATCAGAAGATGTTTTTTGGTCACATTTTGTGCAATTCAAAGGCCAAAATCTCATCACATTCACAAAAACCAACAGATCTGTTTACATTTCTAACACCGCAATGAGCAACTTCACACCAGTTCTGAAGAAAATCTATCTCTCTAGCTGGATTTCTTTTTCACTTTTCAACCAGATTTTTCACCGTTAAGTTGTAGCTCCCCAATTTTTTTCCTCATGTTTGTGATTGCAAGCTACAAAATGCTGGACTGTATTCTCTGCATGAGGCAATTTCTGTTGACTGCTCAGTGCAACAAGGCCAAACAGATTTTTTTTTCCCCCTGCTTAAATCTGCCACGCCTGGCCGAATTAGGGAAAGGGTTGATCAACGAACAGGTTTCAAACCTTGAAGTAGGTGCTGGGCGCGGTCAGGTATTCCGTCAGTCGCCGTCGGACATCGCCCGCTGCGATGTAGACAGGCTCCTTGCTGTCTGTGCTGGTGTTGCTGTCATGTGACATCTGTGAGATGGTGTCGCTGGAGCCATTCTTCTTGGAATACTGGTATTGCTGGGGCAATATAATCATCAATAAATACATTTACTTAGTCAAGTGTGACTAGAGTGGTGGCTAAACTTTTATACAGAGTGTGGAATTCTGTATCAACATTTACCAAATTCACCACTCGCAGACGGTTTTAGGTTTGGCAGATATTTTAAACTTTAACATAGGCATGATATGGCAGCCAACTTTTAATCGACTGCCATACACCACAAATAGTGATTTGGTAGAGTCATTTGAACGGTAAGATATTTCTTAGTGTGACCTCATATTAGTCAACACTCAGGGTGTCCACAGAGCGATACTTGCTACCACAACAAGCCATGCGGAGTGGCCAAGTTCAAGTTCAGCACACGGTCTACCTCTACAGACTTGGCAGATATTGTGTGGGAATACAAGATAAATGTTACATCACAGTGTTCGGAAATTGGCCGGGTTGAGTTGAAGCAAGCTTGATGTTTAAACCTGTCAGATGTGCCCCAGTATGCAGACAGTAAAATTATGTTTACATGTTTCTTTAGTGTGAAGAGGTCACACATGGGTTCCCAGCCTTACCTGCAAGATCTCGTCGTCCTCTTGTGACCAGCAGTCATGGTCCACGTCGTTCAGGTGGTAGACGGAGAAGGCGCCCGGTGGTGTGTAAGAGGACTGGTTTTCACTCAGGAAGAACTTTTGAAGGTTCTCTTCTGATTTGGTGTAGCGGAGGGTGTTCTCCATGATCTTCTGAGGGAGTGGGGAGGTGTGCTTGTTATCGCATTCTAAGACTTCAACGTAGATCAGGTACGGAGCCTTTAACAAAGAAATATGTGGTGCGGTCAGGTGTCAATGCGAAATGATCAGGTGGACTCACCAACATACAAATGCACTGTTAACTGGTCGGAAAGTATGGGCTAAAGGACGGAAGTGTTCCTAACCATTTTCAGTGTACCAAGCACATAAAGCACTTGCGGATTCACAGACTAATTCCCAACGTGTGCGGCAGTCATATGTGTGAGTAAGAACATGTTTGCGCCTTGATTTCATTGCTAGTACGGTGCGGGTGTGAACAGCCAATGTGTGTATACACAATGTACCGTACCGCGCCGCTACGCTGTGCCGGCTGCTGCTGCACGCATGGGGCTCACGCATGCCGTAGAAATTACATGTATCGGCACTGGCGTGGCGCAGACGACGGAGTGGTGGAGTAGTGCAATCTTGTATGTTTCCAGCATAACTCGTTCACTAAAAGCAAGCATTTGAAAAAGGTTTGGTAGGCATTTATTTTTTTAGTACTTCGCAGAAGGTTTTCTTTTCTTTTCTTTTTAAGCCATTCTTAGAGGGAAATTTTGCAAGCTCCGTTTCAAGCAGTGGATTCCGTTTCAAAGTGTTGATTCCGCGAATTCCGTCCATTTTCCGCGATCGCGGAAAATCATTGGCCCTATATTTGTTCATATGTAGTTGAAACCGCATTGCTTCAAAACAAGGTCAATCCATGATTCCATGCACCCTGTGTCCTATTTGTGACAGAAATTTCATCCTTAAAGAAGTTTATGGATTTTAATATTTTCATTCTGCTGTTGGGCACCTGGGTGGAGAATACCATAAGCATTTTTACATTACTAACCTATGAGACGATTCCATAATAAAGTTACATTACTAATCAATGAGATGATTCCATAATAAAGTAAAACATGGCTTATCAGACAAAGTGAGACTTTTTCGTGAATTAATACCCTTGACAAAAGCCAGGTTAGAAAAAAAAAAAAAAATTTTACAATCGAATTGCTTTACAGAATTCTTCACCCGTACATAAATTCCTTAAACCGAGGGGTGGATGTAGGCACAGTTTTTATTTCACTTGGCTAGCATGTAGAGATCATGAAATGCCCACGTCGTTTACAATATGATCTTGGAGTAGATCCGTTTATATGTCTGTGGGTGTTAAATCAAACAGTCAGGTGCCCAGTCTAAATGCAGCAAGGATGAAGTAGACACTTGATGCTTTTACCTTGTCCTTAGAGTTGAGCACCACCCCTGAGGAGTGAGGAATCCTGACGACGTGATAGTCAAACTCGGAGTGAGTAGGCAGCCAGATTCGAGCCGGAAGGTTCATATTCATCATGGACAACTCCGCCAGCAGTCTACTCGCTGTCAGGGAGAGGGTAAAACTCAAGAAACTCAGGCCTCGCACCACTACGTCGTATGTGTTAACTATTCTGCTCAAGACAACCTCCAAAGACCAGCTACCTTGTGATGTGAGCGTGGATGACTAATACTTAGCTTGTGGCGGACGGGGAGTAACATGACTTTATAAGCACACTTTGTAAACTGAGGGCAAGATCAGGGAACGACAACAGCGTATGTATAGACCAACCAAGGTGAATGTCCCTCAAATACCAGAAGGCTTGACCATTGAGTCACTTGTCTTGTTATCATGCCCTAGGGCCTGGTTGCATCCCTGTTCATTGATAGCCCTTTTGTTACTTATTTCAGAGAGAACAACACTGAAAATACCAGCAGGAGATGGCAGAAATTGTGAGGGTAGGGAGAGAGGCAACCAACAACAAGAAATGTGAGAGATGATGGGATTTCGGTTCAATAACGGTCATTTGCAATGGTAAGAGACAACTTTTAACCCCTTCGTGCCGAGATGCGGCTAGACACGCCGTAAAAATTGAGATCCTCAGCCCGCTTTTCAGCTATTATTCTCGGTCCTCGCTCGAGCGAACACGGTGAAAGAAGGCAGACCCTGGCTCTTGCATATATGGTAATTGGCCTTCGTGTGTTGCCCAGAATTGAAAAGACCAAATTTGCAGGGCCACAAACAGAGAATTTGTGGTTTTGCAGGTGGCCTTTGTGGCCAAGTGAGGCTGGAATTCTTGAAGTCGGCTTTCGTGCGAAGGGGTTAAGTGGTGGAACTGTAGTCATCGCTCAAACTAGCCCTGATTTCATGCTTACTTCTCATCTCCCTGGTTGGTAGTCCCTGTAGCCGGTTCCCAATAGCCATCAATGCACTGATGAACTCCAACTCAGCGGAGAGTCTAGGGGCCTGTAAGAAATCAAAGACCAACATCAAGCACTCGGCTACATGCTTCAAACTCCGACACAGCCTGACATGGCTGAAGTGAGGATCCTCTTACACCCAATGAAATGCTAACAAAACACAACAATCGGTTTAGTCGCAATGTGCAGTGCAAGCAATAAATGCCAGCCATTTACGAGCCGTCTCCAAAGTCATCTGGGACAAGTTGTGATCAAGCTGTGGACAATGTTGCAGGCACAAGTTGCAGGAGTCTTGGCAAACTCTGAGTTACTGCCTGGTTAATGTTACATTACCCCCCATGGGCCAATGACGGCACTCACCTGACAGTGGCATTCCTGCTTGGGCAGGTAGCCCCCCTTCATGACCTTCAGCACGTTGACCGTGTTGTCAAAGCAGGTGCAGCCGCTGTCAAACGCGTGGCCCGATGACAGGTCGCCCATGGAGATGGCCGACGAGGTGCTGTTAACACGTCGCAGAGTACCTGTCGAGACCTGGCCCATGACTGCAACCAGAGCAAAAAAAAACCCTCAAAAATGTACAAGTTTTGCTGGAAATCATCCCCTCAGTTTGACAGGCTTTCGATCTGTACACTAAAGATGAATACTACCATCTCTGGCTCCAAATTAACACGGCTTTATGTTGCTGCCATAAAAACGTAACCCATTATGAAACAAAATTTCCAAAGTCAGGGCCCAGTTACAGCCAGACCGAAGGCACAGATGACAAAACCAGAGGCTGAGAAATGGCCTTACAAATGATCTAAGTGAGCTACAACTGTTTCCTACAATCTAGTAGAACTCGGCTTAGGGATGGCCTCGCAGCTAGAATGTAATCACCGAGGGTATATCACCTTACCCCAAGCAAGCAGTATCTTGCGCAATCCTGCCTAAGGTTTTTCAGGGATTCCGTCGGTTGTGCCCTGTCACCACTGCATTCCATGGAAATAGATACTTACAGTACATGTATGAATCATTGGTTTTATTCCTGAGTGTTAAAATGAAGGGTCAGGAGGGCTCCAAGGGTAAGCGTGTAAGGTCTCAAGGTTGGAACAAGATTGTTCAATATGTGAAATGATAGAAGACTACAGAAACAACTGATGTACATGTATCACAAGGGATGTGTGGCCTTGTGGTTAGGATTTGTAAATGTTCACAGCGTCCGGGTTCGAATCCTCCAATGGAGCATCAGATTTAAGAGAGCATAAAAATACACACAACTGATACGTACAGCATGACGCATCCGACCGTGACCGCGTGTGGGTCTTCTTCGTTGGTGACAGCACAGTTGTCGGGCTGGATGGTGCGTTGCCGACGCTCCCTGTCAAGTCCTTCTTTGACCCTTTACTCGTCGGTCTCAGCTCCTCCGAGAGGATCTGGTTGCGCAGCCTGGTGCCCCGTGAGTGCTTGCGTGACTGCACCCCCGTGTTGTGCATGTAGGCTTCCAAAAGCCAGACCACGCTCAACGAGAAGTCGATGCTGGATTTGCATCTGCGTGCAAGCAAAAAGTTCAGCGGAGAGTCAGTTTGGATATATAATCACTACACACTTGGGGTAACTGCTCCAATATTAACGTGCTACATAGCAGGTGCTCACCTGTGGATGATGTAAGGCTTGAGGACCTCTGCTAGGTCACTCATGCTGAGATAGATGTTGAGAACTTGTGGCAAGTAGAAGTCAAAGTCCGCCTCGTCTAAGCTGAATAATTTATTAGCTGTGGGGTAACAATGATGGAATTTTATTTGGACAAGTTGTGGAGATCGACTACACGCATGAACTGCACTGACCAGTAATCAATATCTTGAGAAGGTTGTTGTTTCAACAATGTAGTTTCAATGGCATGTCAAAATTGTGTTCAAAATGTTCGCCAGTACATACATCTTGCTGCAAGCGATATCTTTACATTTTAGTTTACTCACATGTACTTGTACAATGTATGTCCGTGACATGGTTGTTGAAATTTTCCTAGCGCAAGTCGCGACACAGTTGTTCACACAGTTGTATACAGTCGACTCTCGTAAAAATACGAGGGCCTCGTCTTATGCGAAAGCTGCCGTCCTGTTTGATGTAGTGGTATGTAACACCAATGGACCGTAGGTAAAACGTACATGTATACAAGTGTGCATACCGGTAACTTTTTGTTTAAATGCATGTACCTTTCGTTATGTGCATTTGATTTCAAAAAGTTGGTTTTAAGAAAGTGAGATGCATACCCGGTATGTACAGTTAGACTTGTAATAAAGAATAATTATGAAATGTAAGAATGGAGAAAGCCGAATTTCCACCAGTCATGTCGATTCCGTGCGATGCCCTATCACACGTCCCTGACCCTGCACGCTGTGATGAGATCCACATGCATGCACGTAATGTAAGTGCATTAACATTTTAGTTGGTAACCAACACCAAGCTTGTTGCACATAAAAAAAGGAGGAAGCCAGCTACCGGTATTAGTGGTGTGGACAGTAGCGGGCAAAGATCGGATTTTACTTTGGAAAGGCGTGTGGGTTTGGTGAAGAATTATTAGCGAAGGATGTACTTTTTTCTTCAAAACTTGTGGATGTTATTTTCCTTAAACATTTTTGAACGGTTCAGTCATGACTTTTGTAAATTGAGAATTTATAGAAATTTCAAAATTGGATGGGGCGATATTTTCGTGTTACGGTGGGGAACGGGTGACAATTTTTGACAGGGGTGGGCAATTTTTTGGGCAAGGTGATTTTTATTAGTTTCCTGGGGGACTTTAGTCTTGGGGAATTTGGGGGGGGCAGAGAATCTAACAAAAGATTTCTTTTGTTCACCACTGTCCTAAATATGGTACATGTAACGCTTTAGGCAGCACTCGCTTGGGTTCAGGTGGCACGAGAGCCGCCACAAAGAATTTCTACGTTGGGTACAGGAACCACAAAGGGGCACTGTTCGTCTCTCTTGAGGCACCGGACACAAACAGCTTGATTCGGTGACGGAAAACCCCAGTGCTGTACTACTGTACATGAATAAATTACACAAGCACCTTTCAAAATTGAATGGGCTGGCTGATTGACAAGTTGCCTTCAAAAAAGCTTGTGCAAAATAGACAGACAACAATAGATTTGCACTCAACCAGAGTGCATAAAATGCTCATCTTAACAAAATCTCGTAACAGTCGAGCTCATATTATGCATTTCTTCCCCTCATAGGAATGTGTACAATTCAGTCGGGACTGGCAAAATATGCTCGTCTAACCCGGAGTCTCGTCTTACCCGAGCTCGTATTACCGAGAGTCGACTGTAGAAGGGTCGTCTCACTTACCAATGTAGGTCTGTACACCGGGTTCTTTGGATTTGTACAAGTGAGTTATGGCAATAGAAGCATCTAGAAGCTTGGATTCAAAAAGTCTCAGGAGTAGTGACTCTCTTGGTGGGGGGAGTTTGTCCTTTATGCAGGCTGTCACAGGTGACAGACCCCCACGGTCGGGTGAGAGACCCTCTCTCTGTTTGGTGAGATTGTTCCGGTTCTCCTCCTCGGTCGGGCTGGCGGAGGATTCCGACACCAGGGTGGTGGGCAAGTCCAGGCTCAGTCGGCTCGGGTCTAGAGTTCTCCCCCGGGGTGCCGCATCCCCGCCGTTGGGTAGCATCGGGGAGCCGATGGGACTCTGGGCTGGATGGCAAGCCTCCTCGGGGAGGAGCTGGGTGGCATCAAACTGCAATCTGCGGAAGCCGTTCCGCCCACTGCTCTCAGCATCACAACCCTGCTTGTCATGAAGGGTGCTGAGATTCGTCTGAGTGATGTGCTTAAAGCCGTTGTGGTAGGACTGTGACTCCGCCCCATTCACCTCCACGACCTCTGTCATCCCTCCAACCTCCATGTCCTCCTCTTCCTCTTCTGATATCACCGTGGAGTTCCCATTCACCATGGCGACCTCTGGGTGGCTGCGTCGGTGGATTGGGGTGACTTCCATTATTTTCTCCATCCTACCGATGGGATAGGATGACAGTATCTGCAGGTGCCTTAAGGTTCCTGCGTTACCTCCTCATGAATCCATCCATACTGGCTGCTACTAAACATCTGAAACACAAACAGCCACAGCACACAAAATCACAAGTAAAAATCGGTATTTCTCGTTTTTAAACTTATTATGCACGAGTCTACCCTCTTTCTAGACCAAAAGCAAGGCACTCCCTGAACAAACATGTACTGTCCAAGAATTTCATGCTGCAACAGGAATAAATTAAACCTGTCCATGGAAATTACAAGTTCCACATATGGATAAAAAGTTGTCTGCCATCTTTGTTGTCCAAACGAAAAGATCTCTTCCAGCAAAAATTAAGTACTGGTACTGGTACCTAAAGCAAAAGAGTCAGGCTCCCCTCTTATATCAGAGTGTTCAACAAAGAAAGTGGATTTGGAAAGCATGGTCTAAAACATCCATTGACCACTTAGAGAGATGCATGTACCCGGTCCAATAAGCAAGCCAACAGTGGCATTACACACACTTGCACATGTCCATATATGGTACAGGCTCAGGCCTTCCAACTGTGCCAGTACATGTGTTATATGTGTCTACTGTGAGAGTTGGAAAGTTGTGCGCACACACCCTTTTTGTTGATGAAAGCAGCACAAACATGTACATGTACAGGTTACATGTATACATGTATAACTGTGCAACTTGGACATTTTATACATGTACAGACATGTATAACATAAATGTACACTGTCCATGTACATGTCACATGTACAAGTACTGGCAATGGTAAGTGGTATATTGTGTAATGAAATAAATGCGATTCACCATGACTCAGCACTTTTATGAGAAATTTCAAACCATTTTTAGGTTGGGCAAAGTTTTTTTGACTTTTTTTTTCCAATATGGTAGGTCTTAAATATTGCCAGAACATCATTCTAGCCTATTCAGAACTTGAAATTCAAACTTTTTTTGAAGTACACCCCAAAAAAACACATGACATTAATATTTAGGGAAGGCCACCGTAAAATGTTCAAATGCTCATCAAACCTAGATGTACATGTACCAGGGCTCAAAATGAAAGGGCGCAGGTAGCTAAAATGCACCCGTTTGTCTCAGAAATGGGCCCGTAAATCTAATGACGGGCGGAAGTTCTTACGCCTGTTTGATTCCATCTACCTGAAGTTGCATTTTTACCGTTTGTTTCTACTTTTGTCATGAAAAATACCTGAACTTTTTTACTTCCCTTCAGATCAGCCTTGTCACGGAACCATAACACGGTACAACTTTGTTTACGATGTCACCGAGCGCACGCCGCAGTCTTGCATGCGATGCACGCTCACACATGAATGTACATGTACACACACGCATACCCGTTGCCAGTGTCGGGATTGTATGGAAACTGGCCCCTTGTGCCTAAATTCAAGCCAAACGAGTGGATTCGGCTTCGACTTCAGTTTCACTGGTTCCAGTCATAGCTTGAACATGTGGTCTTGAACCATGCTCCAAAATAGCTAGAACCAGCGAAACCAAAGTTTCAGCCTCATCCACTCATTTCAAAAACGCTCGATTGCTGCAGTTACTTCCCTTGTCTGTGTGCATACGCCCGACTTTTTGCGTAGCGTCGCTGAGCACATGCTTTGAGGTTCCAGTTGGTTGCGTACTCACTACTCACTACTACGAGTACGTCTCGTGCAACCCACAAAAATAACTCCATCAAGGCTTTAATATCTGCCAAAGTCTAAGCCGTAAGTTATCAGTGTCATTAATTTAAACAAAAGCAACAGCAAGGACCAGAGTCTTTGCTTTTTTTCTGGAACAGCACATGTATGTCTTTAATACTGTATGAGAGCTACTGGTTCCTTGCTCCCATAAAGTGACAAATTCAGCTGTCTAGGGAGCAAGTACCTGCTCCTGCAATGATTAGCCCAATTTGGAGCCCTGTCATGCCTGTGTACAGTACACTTTTCCTGTGTGCTGAATATGATGACTCATAGCATGTGCATGTGTATGGTTACCTAAATGGATGTGCAAACCCATTCATTCTGTTCCAGGCTAGACTTGTGGCAGTCTACAACTGAGATTTATATAGCACATTCAATGCATGTACATGTCCATGTACACCGTACATGTCCATATGTACATTGTACAAGTACAATACAACATGCAAGCATAACCATGTACATAAATGTACATGCATACTGAATGTTGATTTTTACATGCAAGAAACTTATTTCTCTGTGATTTTTACGACTAGAATTTTTCCGCTTCAGTGACATACATCATGCACTCTGTAGACCTGTAACGGCTGTCTATTAAATTTCAGTGCTATTCCACAGCTTAAAATACATGTACCGGTATTTACTAGCTACATGTACATGTATGTTCAGTACGTACATGTAACATGTACGTGTACAATTTGTACATGTACATGTTCATGTACAATGTATGTGGCTTTGGGAGCTAAATTGTACATGTCATGCATGTAAACTTATAACTTCCTGCATGCTTACATGTACTAGCCCCCTACATGTACCTGCTTTAAAGGAACCAGGAAATAGAAATATTTTCCTAAATTTTACGACAATCCTTTGAAATTGCACCTTTGGGTTTCAATTAACCTGTTTTTAAATTTGTGTTTTGCAAATTTAACCCATATTTTGATGCTTTTGGGTGTTTATGATAATGCAATTTGCATATTCATGAGCAGAACCTACAGGTATGACATCATCCAAGGCACTGAATCCCAATAATGTACTGATTAGTGCACAGGAAATTTCTATTTTTTTCAACCACTGCTATGGCAGATTTCATTTTTTTTGGCAATTTATTGCTGTGTAAGTATATGGCAATAATCCAACAAAAATCCTTTTCACAGAAATGTTCCCAGATAGCAAAGTTGGTGACCACAATTTGAACATTGAAACATGCAACCTGAACCATGTCTTCCTTGATTTACATCAAAGCAAAAGCGCCCTCACTTGTCCAGAAATGCTTGGTCAATTTTTAATGTTCGAAATAGTGCACCGTTCAGTTCACACAACTCAAAAAAGATGTCAACCAGTCTTCATGCATGGAAGACGAGTACAGAGATACACAAAAAGTGCTTCTAAGAAAAATTCATTTCCTGGATCCTTTAAGGTACATGTACATGTACCGTACCATAGGCTCCACCGCCAACTTGTCAGGGTCAGATATTGCTGTACTGGACAATACTGTACCAAATATGATTAAACCTTGTTCAACAACCCAGAATACATTAGGGAAGTCTAACTCAGTAACAACAGCTACGTACATATACATTGTACATGTATACATGCTACTGTACATGTATGCTACTGTACATGTACCGGTACATGTATGTTGACAGATCTACATGTAAGGCCTACATGTACATACATACCTGTACCTGTAGGTAAGATCAGGTTGACCCATGAATTGTCTGTACACAGAAATGTATACAAAATGCACCCTTTCAAAGGTTCATTGTCAGAAAAAAGTCCCCTTGGACTTCAAACTGTGTTAATTGGAACAATGACTCACATAACCTGCCAACTCTATTACAATGGTGTCACTGCTGAGTAATTGGTATGTAAACACTACACAGACAGAGTAACCACAATCATCATTACTCATGCAAGATCTATCCCCACAGATTACATACATGAACATGTACATGTACATAAATATGACCCTGGCCTGTGCACTTTGAACCCTCTCCAATCTGGTTCAATATTTGAACAGCGAGCAAAACCACACACATATCATAAAAATTCCAGGGAAGTTAAAATATTGCACACAAGACAGCACTGGCAGCATGAAGTTAAACCAATTACATGCACAGTGTACGGTGTCAATCCCTCGTTACCATTACTACATGTACATGACATGAGCACTTGGGAAGGATCTGAACCCTTTCAATGTTAATCTGAACGAATGCATCTGCTGGTAATCTACTGTGCGTGTGCACATGTATACATACACGTGTACAGCACCAGTACTGTAAATGTACATGAAACACGTACCGGTATATGCGTACATGAATATTCAGGACAGTACCCATCTGTATACGTGTACCGGTACATACCGGTATCCTATATTAAATGAGAAACCTTGCATTTGAAAATTCCTAATCGCGTACTGTACATTGTACATATAAATAAATGCTTTTCATGTGAAAAGTTCTAGTACCAGTGCGTTTGTATGTACAACATGTACATGTATACTGTAGTACTGTACATGACTCAGTATTACACACGTGCATAAACATACCTCCATGCATACCATCTTGATACATGTACTACGCACTGTTGGTACATACATGTACATGTAACATGCCACCTACAGGGAACCAGACATGTGAACAGACAGAGTTTTGCACATTTATGGACCTGGAGCATAACAGTACATGTGTGTACATGTAAAACATGATAACAAGTAGGTGCTGTACATGAACATGTTCTGTCATCAACAGCAAGGTCACAAGGTCAAGCCACTCCCCCCCCACAACCGACTGAACAAACATGTTTCTCAAACATGTCGAACCATTTCCTATCTGCAGCACCCCCATGTCCAAACACACAGAACAAAGCCTACACGAGTAAGCTTCAACGCCCCCATCCATTCAACCATAGAGAAAGGTGGGCTCCCACTGTCTATTCAAATCCCAGACAAGGGGAACCCCTTTTCAGAGAAGAGGACAATACACCTGCATGACTGTGGGATACTGCCTCACCTCTTGGGCATCACGTGTAATGGATGTGTACATGTGTTGAATACAATAGATGTGCATGTACCTTACTTACATGTACAGTACATGTATGTATGTACAGTACATATACCTTTTGTGTATAGGTACCTACATGTACATGTACAATACAACATGCATAAATGCAGGTCAAATTCACTGTGGATATTGTTTAGCCAGTTGACTTGATAGGGAACAGATTGCAGTCTCCTTTCCACGCACTTCCATGTACATGTACGTGCATCTTTTTTTTCTTGAATTTGTCACAAAAATTCTTTCAACTGTTTGTCCACAACCAAATAAGGTGCTTCATGTGCATGTACCAACTGCTGTGGAAAAATACCTCCTGGTACTGTT